ACTACAACATACAACTAAAAGAAATAAAAATAATTCAGACAAAAGCAGACTGAATAAAATTTTCAATCTGGTTTACCAATTTTAACGCGCTGGTTAAATCTTTGAAAACTGGGCATCTTTCGACATCGAAATCATTTTTATTGACTGATGTTTTTTTGTTATTAAGACGTTTGACTAACAAAAAATTTGAAATGCGAATTAGATCGTTGAAAAATATTTACAGATTGTAGTTGGAGCGAAAAAAGAAAGGAGCAGACGTTCATGTGTCGTCTTACGTGGCATTATTGGATTGCATTCAGATATTTCTAATACTGTCAGGTAAAGACGTCAGTGAACTGACCAATCAACGCCTGATGTTCCGCTCACACCTAACGCTGACCCGCCTTCAAGAGATTTCGATATTGATATATAACACGTTATGAAACCAAATAAATGGTATGATCAAAGTTAGTAAATAACAATACGCGTCAAATGTTTTCGATTATCTTTTTTTATTTAGATAATTTTTTAAATTAATGTTTGTGCGTGTAGTCAATTTGAAGAGTAAAATAAAATTATTAGAAATGTGGAGGACACAATGTAGGGAAGAAGCTTCAAACTTCGATCGCTCTTTTGAGTGTTGGCAGAACAGCAAGATGTGTATGGCGTGTGTGTATACGCTGATAATAAACAATTTATTAATGACGATCAGAGTTTTGTTGCTAAACAAGTTTGATATCATTGAGGAAACTTGGTTGTTGTTTCAAGTTTCATGAATGTTTAACGCTTAATAAAAATATTTATGTTGAACATTACAATTTTTGATTGATAAAAGAGCACAATGTTGACTTTAAGAACCTTATTTTAAAAATTAGTTCAAGAAATTAAAATGGCCACAAGCATTTTGTTTTGCAGCTGGCATTGCAGGAAGATTCTGACCTGAAGTTAACAATAAAAATTTTGTGAAGCAACACGTAGTTGATTAAGTCTTATGTTCTAAAAGTTAATGAAAAAATTACCTTAAGCAAGGTTCTCTTCATAATAGGCATGACTAGTTCTGTAAGCTCAGTTAGTTGGACATCTCTTAATTCATAGTAATTTTTATAAAATATCGTAGCTGCTCAGGATTTATATCATTATACGGCTTAACAATACGTAAGACTTTTTCGTAATTTTGATCAAAACATTCCGTTTAAGGATGATGTTGTGCCTCATTTTCTGATTCTATAAACAAGTATTGCTGCGCGTTTGTTTACATCCATTACAGTGGTTCTTAACCAGGGTCGAATGATTATTTGCCAGGGGTCGCCATGGACCATAGAAATATGGTTTTTGACTTCCTCACAATGTGTAATTGTTCAATTTGTGATAACGTTTTTAAGTAGATTATATTTGTGCCAGCAATAACTCAACATTTGTTCATAAGTGACCCTGGTTAGTTTACGAAATTTTGTCATTCTGACCTCGTTTGTTGCACTTGGCGAAACTCCATTTACAGAAAATTTTGAAGTTGTGCCCGAAACACAATGAAAAGAGTTTATATCGAACTTGTCTATAGTAAAGAAGTAAAACGTATTTTCTGTTCTATGTCAGTTATAAATTATGCTCAAGAGAGAAATAGAATAAACAAAGTTAAACAAATGACGAATGATTTGTTTTTAAACATGAAATATTTTCTCCATTAGTTATAGTTACTCAAGCTTATGAATAATAATAACTTTTTAGTTGAAGGTAGCCAGAACATGGGTAATGGTACTAAAAAGCCGTGGCACTGAAAAGGTTGAGAACTACTGATCTATTATTTATTACTAATATGGTCGTGGGGTACTATTCCACACAGTTAGTTTTTATAAAACATGAGCATGAACAAGTCAAGTTTAATTTTGACTGCAGCAAAAATCTCTGAATAATTCAGGCTCCAATACCCTCTAGCTAAGTTAACAAATAAGATGAATTAGCGTGCTTCAGTCATGTTAGCAAATGTTAGGTCTTTTTGTTTCCGTTTCATAAAAAATGATCTCCAGGTTGCACTTTCTCTTCACACCACATCAACATCGTCATCGCGTTAAATGGTAATTGTTCAATTTATTAAAAATAGAACTATTATTCAAGTTCATCATGAAAATTTAATAAAACTTTTGTTATCCGAATTCATCATACATCATGAAAATTTATTAAAACTTGTTATCCAAATTCATCCTGCAATAAATTGCTCAATATATTTAACAATTTCCAGTAAATTCTAGTAAGACAAATTGAAAAGACAAACTTTAAATTGATTAATGCCAACATTTTGGAAGAATTCATACAATACATACATATATACACATATATACATACATACATATATAAATATACAATACATTTATGTGTGTTTGAAAAAGTAATTCCAGTAACAAAAACTTTTTGTATGCGTAACGCGTTCATTTCCACAAGAATGCACACGCACGCACACAGAAAGAGAGAGAGAGAGAGAAATGAAGAGAAACTTGCAACATGGACGCAAACACGGCGAATAACGATATGTTCAAATGAATGATCCCTGCACACCTGTGACGGTAGTACAGGTGAAACCAAGCTAACTGGTCTGGCTTAATCAACCATGCAAAATAACAATAAAAAAAATCTATCAGAAATTGATAATTTGATTATGTTAAACATGTAGCCGGTTTAGATTTTGTAATTGGAGTAATTAAATAACAAACACCGTGTGATTGCTTTTTTTTGGTTGTTAGACGACTTTACAAACTTAAAAACTATTTCAATAATCGTTTGGATATTAGTAAGATGATTCAAAGAAGCCAATTATTTTTGGCATACCTACAAACCGACAAAACAACAACATGCCGAACAAGAAAAACATGAAGTTAAATTAAACGTCATCACTAAAAAAATTTATTTTTTTTATTCTTTTATTAATAATGGTAGAACAAAATAATTTGACATTTTTTTGTTTTTGATGTGTTGGAATGAAACGTTTAACAAAATTATCTTTCAGTTGAAAAAAATTAATAAATTTTTCTGGTTACACAGAAACTTTTGCTATGTTTTTTTTTTTTTTATAACCAACCTACAGGGCCAGCCTTAGACAACTAGTGGTCATAGGTGAAGTCAATTTTGTCGTCTCAAATAAAACAGAAAATGCAAAAAATAAATTTGACGTAGATTAAGGCATCTAGGAAAGACGATAAAATTTATAACTAACGAAGATTCGTGACTTTTTCAAAAAGAAACTTAAGTTAACAGTTAACGTTTGTATAACTCTCATCATGTTGATACATTTCCAGAATTACAAATAGGTCTTTTCCCGACAAAATAAACTCGTTCTTTGTTATACAAAGATATTCTACGACGAAATTTTTTTAATGGAAGTCGTTATTTTTGCTCTCGTCTGCATAACCACTCAAAACTGAATACCTGTTCAAGTTACCTTCCTGCAAAAACGTTAGTTAGAGATTTGAATGTGTATTCTCTTTGTTCTGGCAATATAAAGTTTATGACAGTAGCTGACAAGTAACAAAATTTAAACACCTTTTTTTTCTCAAAAAAGAAAGTCGTTTCAGTTTGATGCACCAAGCCCAAAATATCATTTTGACATTTTCACCATAAAGAAGCAAAAAATAATTTTAACATCTAGATGTCCAGCTATGAAAAGTAATAATTAAGAAAAATAAATTTTTTTATGGGAATGAAAAGGGTTGAACTTTTTTGGAAAATTAAAAAACTCTTCGATACAGTATATTTATTTTTTGGAGGTCAAATAAAATATTGTATTGTATTGTATTGTATTGAAATATATTTTCAGACCACTTATAAAAATGTGCTTTAGGGCCAACAGAGCCTTATTTCGGCTCTGGATGGGTATCTATTATATTATATTCAAAGATAGTTTTACTATTGTTTTATACTTAAAGATAAAATCTAAAATATTAGGGTCAATTTAATGGATGTAGGATAAAATTTATACATTTAAAATGAGCCTAATCACTATTTATTTGAATTCTACTTTGACCGAGACGTACCTACTTGCGTCATTATATAATCATCAACATTTTAAAAAGAGCCGGGGCTGGTTAACAAATTCCACAGGAAGAATAAGGATGTCGCTTGAAAAAGTGGCTGCTTACCGCGAAATGTGAAGGAAAGTCATACGTATTTCGATAGCTGTAGCCACATGACATGGCATATATAGTTATATGAACTCTACGTTGACTGAGAAGTATTAGCGTCATAATCACGCACAATCAATGTAATTCATCTGCTCTTCTGCTTGACGAATTTCTGTTTAAAAAATAATAAAAGCGTGAGGACAATGTTGCGCTTGCTTTTTTTTATTATTCTTTAAAAATCAGGGTCTGACAGACGCAGAAACTGTAACAACATGCAAGGCAGTAAAACAAAATTAAACAAATAAGTGAGAAAATAAATACAAAAAGTGAGGAAGAGAAATGATAAATAAAATATGTTAGAATAAAATAAATAATAATAATAAGAAAAATAAAAGAAAAGTAAAAAAAAATAAAAGACGATGGAACATAAAATGAAGTAACTAGATGATGACTTAGTGAGGTGATCGATAAATAAAGGCTAGGCCTGTGAGTGAAAAAGTTGTAATGAGTATTAATATGTTTGATGACTTATTAATAGACTAAATGATGACTTAGTGAGTTAGTGAGGTGATCGATAAAAGTGAGGTGATCAATAAGTAAAAACTAGTTCAGTAATGATAAAGTTTTCTTAAGTGCTAATATGTTTGAGGTGCCTTGTGATGAAGGTCTTTTCCTGGTATGTAGGTTGGGCGACGACTTGATTGTTGCTTTTAAACCATTATATAACATGAAAGATATATTAAACTATATATAAGGTATCTAAGCAATATATTCTAAGATATATTATAGGATTCTATCATATTTATATGATTCAATGTATAATAAGATGATTTGAGTCAGAGGTCCGAATGAATCTAAATTCTAGTCAAAAACTCTATGGCTACCGGTATTTGTTTTAAGACTAAAAGTTAACTACGATTTAAAATGGCATCCGATGAGCAATGCTTCTTAAATGTTCGAATTCCTGATGAAAGGGATAGAATACATAAAGATGAATGCTGTTTGTCTTTCGACAATGCGGTATGTATTTGTTAGTTTTAGTTAAAAATGTATCACACTTAGAATAATAGATTTTTGCTTGTCATTGTTTTTTTTATAAAAATTAAAATACAAAATATTATAAAAAAAAGTCTATTACCAGGCATAGTATAGTATAGTATAGTGTATTATAGTCCAATCTCAAACTGATAAAGGCCTGAACTATGAACTGAACAATGTGAGCTTATTTCATATCAACTGATTTCGAAACTTAAGGCAATTGATGAAGCTGGAAAATACATTATTAACTGATTAACAACATATTAACCTAACGATTAGATTAACCAAATACCAAAGAATTATCTTGTGGACCCATTGTCACTCATGTGTCTAGCACAAAACCCAAATTTGGAACCATTTCAGAGAAGCCTATATCATTCATACAGATATTAACTGAAAATGGCTCAACTGTTGCCAAATACCATCTAACTACATACTACATAAACTGAGTCTTGGTTCAACTTTAGTTTGCTTTGACTCAACAACAAAATAACATCAGATATTGATTTGGTTGATTTATCCAATACAGACAGCATTTTATTGGAAAACATGAGACACAAATCTGTATGTCGTCTTCGTAATCATGACAATAATAACCACGTTCACGCAATATGCAATGTAAAGTATAAACAGTGTCGGACCTAAAACAGATTTTTGAGGAATTCCTGACATTAGTATTATTGCTTCCAAAAGCTGACCACAGTAAAAAACTCATTGTGTTCAATTAGTGAGATATGATTCAAATCACATTAAGGCTACGTTATTTAAACCATAACAGTTTTTAAGTCTGTCCTCTAAGAGGATTTTATGACTCACAGTATCAAACATGACATGATGCCATAGTTTGTCTTTAATAAATTTTTCGTAGACACGTTTTTAAGAAATTTTCAAGTTTAATAATTACATTTATTTTTATTCTAGGAAAGCGAAAATGGTTTGTATATTTGTATGAATAAGTTTTTGGCTTTTGGTAAGAGACATCTTGAAACCTACTCAAAGAGGACCAATAGTATGGTGTTTCTCAATGTTAAAAGATTAGTAAAAGAAGTAATTTTTTTAATTTTTTTTCAAACTTCACAACATCAGTTTAAAAAAGGCATTTTGTCATTTTACTATCTAACTTACCATGTTGCTATTTTACAATCAGACTTATCATGTTATTTTTGCTCTACCTGATTCTGCAAATTTCAAATTTAATCTTCTTTTGGATGTTTTCTTTAATTTAATTTAATCTTTCTTTAGATGTATTTGTTATTTTTCCATTATGTGACAAATACATCTAAATCTTTCTTTAAATGTATTTGTTATTTTTCCATTGTTTGACAAGTTTCCAACTTTTTTAAAGTCTGTTTTTTGATGACAAGGTAATGCTCTAAGATCATTAGTCTGAATACTTCTAAGCCACTGTAACATTTTCCATGTGATTTTTAAATGATGGTTTTAATATGTAGCGAAGCCTCAAATTTTAGTATAATGTACTTACTTGTATTTATGAATTTTTGTTTCATTTGAAGAAAGAATGCATTATTTCTGAACCTGAAGCAAAGAAACCAACCAGATTAGCAATTGGTTTGTTATTATTTGTTTGATAAACATGCAATCTTTGTTGGGCTGCATTTTTTTAAATTCTCTATATATTGTATCAAGTTTTATAATGTGAATTTATAACAGATTCTGTAGAAGTTTCTGTTATATTTGCAAGTATTTGACAAGTTATGTTTAAATTTTGTTTGTTATAAAGTACCTAGAAAAGTGGAAAGAAGGAAGATTGAAGTAAAAGAATGGCTAGTAGAAAGTGTTAATGTACTTGTATAAAAGAGCTAGAATGGCAGAATGGACTGCCAATAGTGTTGGAAAGTGGTTTGATGTCCAGGTCGGTCTGCTACAAAGCTTATTCTAGTAAGAAAGAGTATTAAATAGTTCATAAGTCAGTTGGTGGTTCATTATTAGAAATTCTGATAAAACAAAAATAATGTGAACAGGAGATAAACTGAGCCATATAAAAACGGGCTGGTTTCCGTGGACTGTTTGTTGTTAGAAGATGGTGGGGAAATTCAGTTTTACGCTCAAAATGTAATGATAGGTGGCTCAAAAGGAGACCTCGAAAACGTTTAAATATTTTTTTGCAAACAATGAAAGGTGGTAGAAACTATAATGCAGAGCTAAGTTGCGGGAGTACTGAAAAGTGTGTATGTATGTTTCGTGTCTGTACGTATATGTTTTATAGTGTGCATGTGAAAATTATCTTGGAAATTCATTGTCGATTGGAAATTAAACTTTAAAGTTGTTTGTGAAATTTTAACAGAAGCCAAAAAATTCAGCTCACGTTTTTACATACTTCCTGTTTTTAAAAAAGGATTTGAAGGTGGTTTTCCGATGGACGATGATAAGCACGAATATGAGGACATTTATACGATTGTTGTGCTACCATCATGGACTGAATATTCTCTAAACGATTCAACTCTGCCGCCTCATGTAAATTGTTATTTCACTCATCTTGTGCAGTTTATAAACGATGTTTAATATCTTTAGTTAAATACATGTAAAATCCACACAACTTTGATTCCTTAAAACTTGACACACTGATAAGTTAGAAGTATTATTTAAAATATCTAAACAATAAATTACTTTCAAACGCTTTTTAGTTCCTATATTTCAAATAATAATTACACTCACTTATTTTTTTGCCGTTAGCTTGCATCAGTGATTATAACATGACCTGCAAATATATTGCCATGTTATACATGACAGGTGATTGCATCAGCTAAAAGTATCATATCAGCAGAATCGGCTGCCAGAAAAACGGAAATAGAGAATCTGGCTGGAACATGGGATGGAGAGAAAAGATCTATTTCTAAGTTTGTGGCATCAGTTTATCATTAACTCATTTTTTATGGTTCTATTGTTTTTTTAAATGGAAAGCACACAGGTGTATTAGTTATTTTAATTCATAATTCATCTCTGTTAAACAACTTATGATAAATAAAACTAAAAAATTAATGTTTTGTTAGATTTGTTTCATAATTATGCAGTATTGTTTTCTAGATTTGCAGCAGATTTGTTGCAGTTGAACAATAACAAGAAAGTGGCTCCTTCTGGTTGGAAGTGTGAGAAATGTGATAAGGTGGATAACCTCTGGCTCAACCTCACAGATGGTTCGATCTTGTGTGGTAGAAAGTTTTTTGACGGAACAGGTGGCAACAATCATGCCAGTGAACATTATCTAGCCACTAATTATCCATTGGCGGTCAAGTTGGGCACTATCACTAAGGACAGTGCTGGTAGGTGGTTTCACTTTTTTTAGAGTAGTTGAACTTGATGCATTTTTGGTAGCCATTAATTTTTAATGGTCAACTCAATTTGTTTTATATGATATTTGGGGTGGAGTAATGTTTAATTTTGCAGTTTTGTTGTGTATTTATCTTTTTTAATGTTCAACTGAAGATATTTGTTATTTTGCCGCAACTGGACTTTAGCATTTAATTTTAATCATTTTTTGTTGTTAGATGTTTATTCTTACGCCGAGGATGATATGGTTGAAGATCCTTTTCTCGCTCATCATCTTGCTCACTTTGGCATTGATATCATGAGAATGCACAAAGTTTGATATATTTTTGTATTAAATTTCACCCTAAATGTATTCTGAATTTCAACCTAAATGTATGAAAATATAAATTTAGACTGAAAAGACGATGTTGGAACTGGAATTGGACTTGAATCAAAGAGCATGGGAGTGGTCAGCATTAACTGAATGCCACAGCCAACTGCAACCCATCTATGGTCCTGGGTATACTGGCATGTACAATTTGGGAAATAGTTGCTACATCAATTCCGTCGTACAGATGCTATTTAATTGCCTTCCATCCTTTGTTGAAAAGTTAGTGACATCATTCCCAGGTGGAGTCATCTTGTAGAATATTATTCACATTCTGAGTTTTTAAACTTAATACATAATGAATTTTGTTTTCATTTTAATTTTCATTGACCTAAAGTTTTTCCAAGTGATGTTTGCTGTAGTTTCATTTTCTGGAATTTTTTAATTAATCTTCCTAAAATTAATTTTATCGCCAAGATATTATGATAAAATTTTTAATTATGTTTCAATATTTTGTTAGGTCCAACAAATTCAAAATTATTAAGATATTTTTATTTTGACTCTTTCAACAATTCATTCCATAATCCATCCCAAAATCCATTTCACTATCCATCCTACAATTCATTCTACAATCCATCTCTTAGTCCATCCCACATCCCACATTTCATCCCCAATCCAATCCTTCCCATCATCCATCTAAAATTTGTTTTTACCAGAAATAGATTCAAACTTCACAAAACACTATCAAAAATTACTCTCTGCATACTTGCACTGAAGTTCATAAGATGTGTTGTATCATTCAGCAACCACATTTAAGAATGCCTGGTGTCATCTGTCTTTTTTAAAATTTTGTAACATACTGCTCATTGATTGACAGGTACTACACACCCTCAGAGAAAGTTTTCAGTGGGGCGTCCTATGAAGATCCAACCTCCAACTTCAACGTTCAGATGTGCGTTGCCCACATTTCAATACTCATTTTCAATTGAACTTTCATAATTGACACCGTATAATGAGAAGAAAAAGTGATCCATTGAGTTTCTTTATGTTAATTTTTTGTTAATGAATTTAATGAAAAGTTCACTAATTTCATTAAGGAAAATTTTGATTGGATTGTTAGAGTGTTAAAGAGACACGAATATGGCTTGTGGTGAAGCAGGAAGCACGACGCTGCCATGCTTATTAGGGTTGTCGACGCCGCTCAGAAAACGAAGCACTGCGTCGCTCACTCGCTGTTAATATTGATTCAAGCTCTCTAAAAACTCCCAAATGACTGCAATTAAAGTCTGTCAACGCAAAAAAATCTTTCCTTTCAACAATGTAATGAGATGCGTTGCGGGCTACGACTTACATCACGGATTATTTAAAATCGATTAACGTTGATGTTCTTTCATGTTACCCCGCTTCAAAAAGAGAGTGAACGAATCCCAGCCGTCCACGTCTTTTCGATTGTGCATTGATGTCAAGTATACAGAAGTAACTTACTACCAGAGATAGTTCATGGCTCGAGTCTGAACAAACCAGGGAATGGATATTCAACAATCAACAAAGGTGATTTGAACTCACCAACTACAAAGAAAGAAGTTGGTGTCTCAATACATGACATGCTAATATGAATCATCGAATTAGAAATAATAATAAACACAAAGTATAAGAGCAACACTCAATCCTGGCACTGTCGAAACTTTCAGATGACTACACTGCTTTTGAGTGTTACCATCTGTCTTCGTGTAAAGTTTCGAAAATGAAAAATATTAAAAACCAGAAAATATTTTTTTCATTAATATCTTAACGAAAAATATGAAAACAGAAAATTTTAAACCAAATAAATTAAAACTTCTGATTGAAATGAAGAGTCTGTGAAAAAGAACAATCATGGAGGAAATTCTAAGCTTTCATAGTCTCTAAAAATTTTAAAATAAATAAGTTATTTATTCCAGTTCAATGATGAATAAGTTAAACTCCGTACTAGTTTTGAAATTTATATGTCGAATCGCTCATCGCTGGTGCTGCAAAACGTTGTGTCTGAGTTATCAAGTTGAATTGGTTCCAATAATTTTGCCGCCTATCTGCATTGCCCAACAGGTGCAAGCTGGCCCATGGTTTGTTGTCTGGTGAGTACAGCCGTCCATCTCTGAAAGACGCCTGCAACAGTGACACGCCCACCTCTTCCAATCACTCGTGCCAGGTAACAAAACTTTTTCAGCATTTTCCCTGTCACATTTCAATTCATTAAAACAAATGAGTTTTAACCTTTACCTTATATCTATTAAATGTGCGTTATTTTAGCTAGTATAACTGAACCAATCTTTATTTGCCATTTTTCTTTTGAGATTTTTATTTCAAAGATACTAAGTAATTGTTTTTGGAAATATTTTTGAGGAAAATTTAAATTTTGAAAGCTAAAGCAGCTAATTAACTGAAATGAGATATTTATGACTACAGCAGTTTTTAAATACTTCTAGGCTCATCCTGTTATGTTTCTTTACATAAACTGAAAATATTTATTACACTATTTATTACAAGGAATAATTTTGCCAATTATTTAAAGGGCATCAAACCTCAAATGTTCAAGAACCTGGTTGGTCGGGGACACGCCGAGTTTTCAAGTAACAAGCAACAGGACGCTGCCGAGTATATGCTCCATCTTTTCTCCGTCATTGAAGTGATTTTTTTCACTTCTTTCCGTCAACATTTTGTTTTTATTACTTTTTGGACTTTTTTCAATAAAAGTTGGAAAAATTCTTCAAAGTGGAAAAATGAAAAGTTTAATCTTTCAACCGTAGTTGATTCAAGTTTCAGATCGTTCAAAATTATTTTCAGTAATTTCTTCACGTGCGTTTTTTAATCAATTTTTTTGACAAATGAATATTATATTTTGATTTGAATGGCTTCAAAAAATCTAGAAAATTAAACCCTTTTTTATAAATGGCTTTTAGAGTAATTAATTAATAAATAAATAAATTAATTAATAAATTCTGTTTCATGGTTTGAATAAAGTGTGATGCTTCATTTTCAAGGTCAATTCTTCAACTTTTATTGCACGGTAATGATTTTTTTCATCCCTTAGCGCCACTGTGTCGGGTCATCGAACCCAACCGACCATTTGAGGTTTCAAATTGAGGAGAGAATTCAATGTTCCGCATCGAATAAAGTGAAATATGTAGAAAGGAAAGATTTCATATTGTCTTTGTCAGTTGATGCAGATGATGCAGTTAACAAAGGTTGGTGAGGATCATGACGTACAGTGGAGCTATTTATATTTCATTTCATGTGGTGACTGAATATTTATTTGATTTATTTGATATTCTTAAATTATTCTATCAAACAGATGATGTTCTCGTGTATGAAGAAAGGAAGAAAAAAGCTGAGGCTCTAGGACAAAAACTGTTTATGAAATTTAACTGTTTTTTTTTTGGTTTATGTTAAGCTTTTTTTAATCTTGTTTGTGAATGTGTTTTGTAATTAATTCTTTAGCTCTTTTACATTTGTTGTCATTTATGCTAAATAACTTTCAACCACAAGGGACTGTGCTGAGACGGTGAGGCCGAAGATCCTGCTGTCTTCGAGCATCGCTTCCTTCGCATCGCAGTGCACCGTTGAAGATTTCTACAGCAGTGCCATCAACGGCAAGACAACTGCTTTTAAGTCTGTGTACTCATTTCTAATGTTTGAATCCGTTGTTGTTCAAAAAAAATCATGGTTGTTGTTATTTTCTACTTTCTTGAACAGTCTTGAATCGAGTGTGTTGAATTTTTGAGTGACGGTAGGATATGATGCAGGTAGTTGAAGCGGATCTGTTTTTGATGAAAGATTGTAGTTCCTGAAGTATCAAATCGACAGGCTTTTGAAATACAGAAATTCATAATTTTGTCTTTAAACTTGTTTCGACCAATAGTAAACTTCTTTGTCAGTAGATTTAGTTTGATGTTCAGATACAAGTTGCTAGAGATGCATTTTGTATAGTTTTTAACTATCAGTTAATTATATAAATATGCTATAGTAGCCACTAGTTGATAACTACTTTTTAGCAGTCAACACCTAGATACTAATTAAATTATTTCAGAGTAATTAACTCTGGTAGTTGAAGCGGATCTGTTTTTGATGAAAGATTGTAGTTCCTGAAGTATCAAATCGACAGGCTTTTGAAATACAGAAATTCATAATTTTGTCTTTAAACTTGTTTCGACCAATAGTAAACTTCTTTGTCAGTAGATTTAGTTTGATGTTCAGATACAAGTTGCTAGAGATGCATTTTGTATAGTTTTTAACTATTAGTTAATTATATAAATATGCTATAGTAGCCACTAGTTGATAACTACTTTTTAGCAGTCAACACCTAGATACTAATTAAATTATTTCAGAGTAATTAACTCGTAGCAGTTACTACTACTCGTTACGGATGTTTAGATATGTATGTTTAGTTTCGTAAATAAAATAAATTTGTGGCTTCTTTAGCTTTAATTCAACTGCAAAATGAATCGCAATAACCTTCATTGCTAGTCACATTTTGTCGAAACTGGCGCGTTGGTTGGCTTAAAGGAACGTGCTTCCTTAGTAATTTTGCTGTTGTCATGAATCTTTGAAAGTTTTTATTTCTATTTTTTATAGTTGCGTTTTTTCCAATACTTGATATTGTTTGATGAACAGGACTACTAGGTTTAAAACATTCCCAGAATTTTTGTTGATTCAGCTTCAAAAGTTCACTATCGGCACAGACTGGCTTGAAAAGAAATTAGGCTAGACATTTATTTTAAATTTGGCAAACTTGATGGTAATAATTAATGATCCTAAATTTCACTCATAGTTATTTAATTTTTGTTATTATTTTACCTGAGACATTCTACTGACATTTTAGTTTTCATGATTTTGTGGTTTTAGACTGTTAAAAATAATAGCAATTTTTTTAAAGAAATGTGTTCTCATACCATCAGTTCTTTTCATGTTATATAATGAAGTTTCATAAAGTTGTGTGTTCATTAACGTTTTTGATAAATTTTGTAAAATTGCAGACGTGAGTGTTGACATGCCTGACATCTTGGACATCAGTCACTTGAGGGGCAGCGGTCTGCAGCCTGGAGAGGAAGAACTGCCCGATGCTACAAAGTGTGGAGATGTCCGTTAGTATCCTTCATTATCGTCCAATGTGTTCTCACTATCACCCCTCAATTGTTCATTGGTGTTGTGTATTTTACCATTTTTTTTATGTCTCTTCAGTATCTTAATATCTTAATTATCTATTATCTTTCAATGAGTTTTTATTTTCTTCTGCGTCTTTTATTACTTTTCATCATTTTTTACTATTTTATTAGTGTTACTTGCGTGCCGACTGTTCTTCTTCACTAATTAGGTTGTTGCCTGTGCCACAACTCTGCTAACTTTGCAGACGACACTAGTGTGTTTTAAGTGTGATCATTAAAAAATTTCAGCCAACGAGCCGGTTTTCGATGAAAATATTGTCTCCGAGATGGTCATGATGGGTTTCCCGCTGGAGGGCTGCAAGAAGGCAGTCTACTACACAAAGAGCCAAAGTCTAGATGCTGCCGTTGACTGGATCATGGAGCACATTGCCGATTCTGGTTAATCACAAATTCAAATGCATGAAATTTTTACTGTTTCACGAACGTTCTGTCATTTTTGGTTTTATTTTTTGGTTACTGTCAATAATTTTTATGATTCTAGTTTCCAACACATTTCAATTTTTTTTATTTTATTGAGGTGGGGGGAGGGAGTAAGTTTTATCAGTATCGAAATTAAAATAATGTCTTATCAAATGTGGATACTCTAATTTGATTGAAGGAATGAAAGCGTTATAATCCTTTTTACAAATCTGTTAGAAAATATTAAGTCTTGGGTAAGTCATGAAAGTTTAAGAGTAAGTCATGCTGTGCAATGAAGGTGTGGGATGGAGGAGTTGTGGAAGGATTTGTAAATTATGAATGTTGACTTAGAAGACATAACCTGAAAAGTAGAAGTATATGTTTATAAAAATGGTGGCCATTAAATGATAAGTAATGCAAAGCAAGTTTAGGCGGTAATTAATATATTCATCTGATCGTAACTCATCAACTAGATCTCTCAAGTCCCATGGTTCTCAACGCGAAAGAAGTGCCAAGCGAGTTCATGGCAGATGAAGAGGCACTGCTCACCATCACGTCTATGGGATTCACAAGAAAAATGGCCTTGACCGCTCTCCAGGCCACCGTTAGTTTTTTTGAATTTTGTAAAAGATTTTGAAATTCTCCTTTTTTTGTTATCCCTAATTTTTAATTTCGTTTCAATTATTCTAGATATATATGTATTGCTTAATTTTTCAGTTGATATTTTTTATTCTTGGTTATGTGTAAATCCCGTTGAATTAGTTGAGATTTATTCTGTTCATGAGGCCATCCATAAATTAATATGTTATTGCTAGGATGAACCTTTTTACTTTTGTAAATAAAACTGTTCAAAAAAAAAACAAAAAAAATTACCGAGACAATTTTGTGCCGTTAACAACGTGATCAGCAGTAATCATCGTCACTTTGATGTTCAGTTTGCCACTTCAGTTATTCACAAATTTCAATTCAACGCTTATTATTTGCCTTATTCTTGTTTAATGTTGATATGAATCTTTACCCGGGAGATTCATATTTATGTGTGTGTTTGTGTGTGTGATAAATGCGTGTGTGCGTGCGATTTAACAAGGACAACAACATGGAACGTGCCATGGATTGGATCTTCAGCCATCCCGAGGCGACGGATGCCTCCCTGGAGCAGCAGCAGCATCAACTCAGCGCGAACCAGCAGCAAGTTAGCGCACCACTCTCGACTCCCAAGTTAACTGATGGTCCCGGAAGTTAGACAAGTTTCATTTTCTTCGTTAATCATCGTTTATTTATCATTGTTATTACATTATATTTATTTTTATTGCTATTGTTGTTATTATTATTATTTTTATTATTATAAAGTGTTATTGTTAATTTCAATAGCGTACAAACCTTTCTATTTAACTTTTTGGTGATTTTAATTTAGTTTGTTTCGCGAGAGAAAAAAGTTTTTTTTGTGAAATTTTTAAATAAGAGATAAATTAATGTATTCCGCTTTCATTTTTCCATTTTTTTTATATAATATTAAGAACGATCTTTGGCGTATGACCCATTAAATTAAATATAGTTAATTAATTAAGCAATCAATTAATCAATCAATCAATCAATTATGTTTTAAAATTATGATAACTATAGTTTAAAATAAATCATGGAATTTCGTTGACAAAGGGTACAGATTGACTGGCATGATCAGCCACATGGGTTCATCATGCAAGTGCGGTCACTACGTCTGCCACATCTTGAAGGACGGCAAGTGGGTCATATACAATGACGAGAAGGTAGCCCTCTCAGAAAAGCCTCCCAAAGATCTTGCTTATTTGTACTTGTATCAAAGAATCTAAATAATTTCGCTTATTTGTTCGTTAGTCAAAGAATCTAAATAGTTAAGTCCACTAAATAATTTCCATTTCGTCTTTTGGTATACTGACAACGACTGAGTAATTTAATAAGTAAAACTTTTGTTAATTTTTTAAAATTTTCTGTCTATCGATTTACGTTTGCTGTCTGTTCACATTCAGTTTATCTGACACAAATTGAACTTAGTAAGGTGAAACCAATTTTTATGATCAATGTGTTTTAATGTTACAAATTGAAATAAAATACTTATACAAAGTTGCGTTTGCGTTAGTCACCGCAAAACTTGATAGAAAGTAAAACGACAATTTCAATTATTGACTTCGAACTGTTTTTTATTAATTGTGATCACTTGATCAACTGAATCGGATTTATATTTTATTTTTAGAGTTTTAATTTGTCTTCCGTCGAAAATGTGGCTTCGGTCTGAAAAAGTTGTTAAACTGGACAAAAATAAATTTGTGCTCGTGATTTTATTTTCTTTATTTTTCTTTATTTTTTTAGGAAGATCGTGATATGAGCTACAGAGCGATCGGCCGATGTTTTGTTTTGTTTATTAAGGATATTAACATAAATAAAAAGTTGAATATCTCATTTTGTTGTATGCTGCGGTCGGAAATGTTAATTCTCGAATTACAAATGGAGATAAACATGCTTCTAATTTTAATTCGTTTCTTCGTAATTCAACTTAGTGGCGCGCTGCTCAACGCCCACATAAATTTTACAGCAATGTTAATTTTCTTCACTTTATATTAATCACAACGCTAGAGATTTAGTGTTTTAAAATAGCGTGTGCAGATTCTGTGCATATTATCATTATTATTATCATTATTATTTTATTATTATTATTGTCTGTCCATCACGGTCTAAACTGGTTTGCAGATGATTTCAGGGCCCATCCGAGTCCAGAGAAGATCATCCAAGAAACTTTCTAAGGATATGAGCAGTTCCGAGCAGAGCAATTTTTTGAATTTCTTCTTTTGTTGGTTTCCCAGGAATCATTTCAAGATTTTTCATTGTCACATTCCCAATGATTCCTAAAGCTCCTACGACTATTGGTATTACTTTGCATTTAATGTTCCACATTCGTGAAATTTCAATTTCTAGATCTTTACACTTGCATCTTTATTATTATTATTATTATTATTATTATTATTATTATTATTATTATTAATATGAGTGTTCGTTTGGCGCTTTTTCAAATCTCAAAAACGCCATTAACTAAAATCTTAAATTATCCAGAGAAAATAAACAAGCTTTCAATTCTTTTCTAAACATTGCAAGGGAGGGAGAGCCAGATCACGTAAATCTTGTGACAGACTATTCAAATCATCGATCCAACAATAGCAAAATTTCTTGATCCTATTTTCAATTTAGCGTGAGCAGATCTAAACCATCTGAACGCAATCCAAGTCGATGCATTGAGATATCCCTCTGAACAATTTTATCTTGAAGGTATTTGGGAATCAGGCCATTCTGGCATTTATAAACTATAACAGCAGTTCTGAATACAACTCTTTTTTTAACTGGTAGCCAATGCAATTCACTCAAAACTGGAGTAAAATGTTCAAACTTTGAGGATCCATTACAATCTTTGCAGCCCGATTCTGTACTGACTGCAGCTGACTAGTCACTTTATTTGCAGTGCCCCAGAACAAAACATAGCAATAATCCAACTTTGAATGTACAAACGCATGTACTAGACTTAGTAAGATGTCCTTAGTAAGATCACGCATATGATAATAGCATTTCCTTGCATGTGCTCTAACGTGGTATTGCATCAGTAAATTACTGTCCAAAATCACTCCTAGATTCTGCACAGATGTACAAACGTAAATTGAATTACCATCAATATTAACCGATTCAATGTGTTGCCATGTGCCAACTTTCATACAAGAAACAAAATGGGACCGAGAACAGATCCTTGTGGCACACCAAATTTCCCAACCTTAGTCGGAGACTGTAACTAATCTGCTGAGTACGACCAATTAAATATGACTCAAGCCATTTGAAAGCAGTCTCTGTAACACCACAGCATTTAAGTTTATTAGCAAGTAATTTGTGATCAACACAATCAAATGCTGCGCTCATATTAAGAAGAGCAAGAAGTGAAACATCATTCAATCCCATGGATTCAAACAAATAAGACGTCACATCAATAAGTGCTATTTCCGTGGAGTGAAAATGTAATAATGGCGAAAAATTATATACATCTAAATATTGTACAAACTGCATTGCAACTACACGTTCAATCAATTTTGAAATGAACATTAGATTTAATACGGGGCGATAATTATTTATTTCATCTTTGTCAGGACACTGTTTTTTTTAAACTGGTTAACCAGAGCATGCTTACATGAAGACGAAAAAATGCCAGTACTTAAACATAAATTAACAAAAAAGGTTAGAAATGGCAAAAACAGATACAAACGTGTCTTATTAAATTTGATTGGTATTCAATTCAAACGACATGACTTTGTGGGTGATTCCAAAATGATCCTCTTGTTAATATGAGAAATTATCCAACAATTGTTTAACATAAACGTTATGAAAAAACTCTTCCAGTGAAAAAAATTTATTTGTTTCGTTTATAACCCTTCCAATCTCATGTTTGAAATATTCAGAAAAATCAGTAAGACTATGTTGATAAAAAGATCCTAGTGAATCCAATGAAGATACTCTACAGAGTACTTTGTTTACAACACTCCATAATTTTTTAGGTTGCCTTTATTACTTTCAACCAAATTCTTCCAATATTTATTTAAACATTAAATCAAAAATGTGACATAATGATTAGAACAAAAATAAATGTATATACATATATATATATATATATATATATATATATATATATATATATATATATGTATATATATATATATATAGGCAGTATTGTATGAATTCTACCGAATTGTTGGCATTAATCAATTTAAAGTTTGTCTTTCCAATTTTCCTTGCAAGTATTTTCTTGAAATTGTTCAATTTATTGAAAATAAAATTATTTATCCAAGTTCATTTGTTACCCGTTATATTGTAAAAAGTTCACAAATCTAATATTGCTCAATTTTACTGAATGACGATTAATCCTTTTGCCAGATATATATTTCTTTATTGTAATCAGTCATTAGAACAAATTTATTTTTACGTTTTAAACAAATGTGAAATTAAAAAATATTGAATTGATGCGCGATTAAATGTGGTTAATTATTAATAATATTTTACAATATTATGTAATGCTTCATCCCCTAAAAATAAGGCAAAGTTATTTAATCCGTCAAAATTTTTTTTACAAACGGGCATTGTTGGTAGCATTGATTATACCGGCAACTAATTCACGACCGCTTAGAACTATTTGTGAGGGAGGCAAGATGTATCCACCATCGCCAATTGTCTTCGGTCTCAGCAGTATGCCGTACGAATAAGAAACGTTGTGCTTCATTTTTGACCAATCCATGCTACTTCCTTTACGGAACTCGTCTGTTCAATTATTATTTTGTTCGTTCACTGATTTGATGAAAATGACTCAACAACCGAATCCTAATAACAACTTTGAATACAAATTTATAGAGTTGCAATGGTTCATCAAGGCTGTAAATGTTGATGAACCGATTATTACAATGGTTATAGCATTAATATTCTAATGCTTTTGCAAACCATGTTTTAAAATTTTTGAACTTATAACTAACAAATTCTTATGGCCATGGTTCTGATCGTGTAAATTTGATTATTATAACATTCAAAAATTCAATATTACGAATGTAATAAACAAGAAACTTTTTTCGAACCAAACAGTACTGATTAAAAACGCCTAGGTGTAGTATAAAAGATGCTGCAAATATGGTAAAAAATTGGTAAAAAAGTGACTGTTTGTTCTGTGGTCTATGACTCTAGGGAAAAGCTCAGAAGGCCACATTTTGAATACAAATGCATTAGGCTAGAGAGGTTCTGCCACGACTCTATTGCATGCTTATTTAAAATTCTTTTCAAATTTCATTCTTCAAAGCAATTTTGGAACTAACTAACTTTCGAGTGTACTACCGTGAGTATTCAAGAATAACGTAATTTTCCGTCAAACATTTGAACGAATGAATCACATGATTTTTCGTTAAACGTTTGAGTGAATGAACTGAGTCACGTGATTTTTTTGTCAAACTTTCTAATAATTTTTAAATAAGGCGACGTGATAGCCTAGCGGTTAAGGCGCCAGTCCTATTTCGCAGTGTGTACCTACTGTACAGTGACTTGGCTCAAAAATGACAAAAAGATCCCATCGTCTACCGCCTGTATCATGTTTGATGCGTTGTTAAGCACGTGTTCATATACGTTGTTTGTGCGCTGTTGGTACTTTAAAACTTTGGAACAGTGCGTGAAAGTTTAAACTTATAAAATCTTTTTTAATGAGTCGAAAGCGCGCGCGTTTTTGGAGAATGTATGAGAGCTCCAGATTTTGACAAAATATGAAGCATGCAATGAATCCGTTTACTATTTAAAAGTGAATATATTGTTTTAAAACCTAAACTTTTACCCTAACCCTCTCGTATTTTTAGTTGCAGTACTACAACAATAGTTAGAGTAAATATTTGATTAGTTTTACGATGAAGTATTTAAAAAAACATGAACTGCAACAGTAAAAAATGCGATCACGAATTAATTTTCGTGAGTATCGATTTTGGTATACTATTTGGCTTACTAAATATATAATCACAACTAGTTTGCACCACAATGTGCCATCTGCTGTTTATTTTTTCCGCCAAAAACCATTAAGGCAAGTTATTATTTTTGAAAAAAACTCATTTTATGTAAATATAATGTTTTAATGGAGATATTTGAATGTTTGAACGTTTTGAAAAATCTTACGTAAAAGATCACAGGCTTTGCCAACTTGAAACTCCGAGTTTGTCTCTTTTTTGATTGCATTCACTGCTATGTTTGCAACACGAGCCTTGAGTGGCAGAAAATATCAGAATTTGTATAATTATGTTTTTCAAATATAAATTAACCTTTTTATGAGTATACATATGTACTATGGATATATAAGGATGAATATGTTATTAACATATATAATTGGCGAAACCTATATGAATGATGAAATATATATTTTTATATTTAACTGAAGTCAATTAATAAAATTGCAAAATCAATTTTCAATCAATGAAAAATACTAAAAAAAGTTAACAAACATTAAATAGCAAGATTATTTTTTGCATCAATAATATTTGGCCCAATCAAAATATTCTGTGGCAAGGTAAAGATTAAGACTATCGACAAAGGTACCATTTCATTGTAGTTGGGAGCGGTATTGTTGCAACATGCGTAGGGAATCAACCACATCTGTCCGTAGGCGTGAACAGAAAACGACATGAAAACAGGCGACGATGTGAACACTTTTCGAACGGCTTTTGTTTCGTTTTCAGAGAAGTGCTCAGTGCCAGCGTATTTTTCGCTGCATATCTTATTGCTGTTTGAATCTGGATGAAATTAAATTCCTTTATTAAAATATATTTAAAAGAAAAATTTACACTCAACATACATGAATTAAAAAAAATAAAACCGGCTAGGCAACCCATTCCAGACAGCAGGACCCATTATGGAGCATACTCTTTGGAAATTAATGAGTGGATGATGGCAAATAGGTTTAAATTGACCTAGGACCAAAAGCCAAGTTTGTGTCAGGTACAAGCAGCAAACCCGAATTGTCAGAGCGCAGTGTTTGACTCAGCATTGGCATTGTTCTAGGAATGACTCTGTCAGTTAAATATATAGAGCAACTCCCGTAATACACTTAAAAATTGTTAAACATATCTTAAAAATAACTTTTTGGTACACCGGAAGACAGTGAAGAGCATCAAAATTGGCTTGGTCGTATTCAAAGCCACCTGAAACTAACCTTGCAGCCCAATTTTGAACTGACTGCAGTCTAGCCATATTTACACTAGACGGGCCGTGATATAAACTATTGCAACAATCTACTTATAAGTGGATAAAGGAATGAACAAGACATTAAAGATTATGCTTGTTTAAAGATCGCTCGATGAGCCTAAGCCTACATAATTTTGTCCAGAGCATTCTATCCAAATTGCTATGGTGTGAACGTTAAAAGACGTGTTAATATCAAAAACAAATCTTAGGTTGCGTATAGATGTGCGAAATAATTCAATGTCAGAATCATCAAGTCTGATAGACTCAATGTTCATTTTTCCAAATGCTGCCTTGTGCCAACCAGTAAAAACTGAGTTTTAGATTGATTCAATTTAAGCCTATTTGCCATCATCCACTCATTAATTTCCGAAAAACATGATTTAAGTCTACGCTAGCAATGATCTGAATATTATCAGCATAACCATGACGTTTAAAATTATGTCTGTCGATGATATTGAAAACACCTGCAGTGCACAACACAAAAAGGTGGAGGCCCAGAACCGACTCCTGCGGAACACCATGTGACAAAGTTTCAACAGGTGTCAAGTTAGGTCTAAACAGAATATACATATATATATATATATATATATATATATATATATATAATATATATATAATATATATGTGCGTGTATATGTATATGTGTGTGTGGGCGTTTGTATCGATAATATAATAGTGCAATATATTACGTATATAGTCTGCGTCAAAGTTGTAGTTAAGGTTGATTCCAACGCAGAGTTTGCTCAATTCTCTCATGTTCTTCACCCAAAGTCGATCCTTAAATAAATAATTAATTTGATAAATAAATAAATTTATTTACTTTTTATATAAATTTAATTTTGCAAGTAAAATTTTTAATTTTTGTAACAACAATTTATGAAAGAAATCTAAACAAAGATATCATCTACCTTTGACATAGAATGCGAATAGCCGTCTGGATTAAGATTTGGAACAATGATGAAACGGTACTTACTCCTTAAAGTTTTGGCTGGACTGTCAGACGAAAAAACGATCTAAACAATTAATAAACATTTTTCATCAGCATTCAATCACGGTTTGATTTGTTATATGTTGATGTCATATGTTTGATGTTGTATATAATAATTATTAAATTAATATGCATACGTAATCAATAAGGTAGAGGATAGAGGCGGATGTTATCCACTCCCTTGCTCCCATGTTCCCATCTATCCAAATTAAAGGCAGTTTTCTTTTTTCTGCATTGATCTGTTGTTAAAACAATTTAAAACATTAAAGTAGCCAGAAGCGAAGACTGGACCATTAGGCAAAGACTAACGTAGATGGAGCAGATGTCCAGCCCCTTGTATGTCTTTCCCAAAGAAACGTCCAGAGTGAATGTCGGCTCCGAATTTACAACATCTGCAAGCCAGTTACACTGCTGCAATTTTATGTTTTTAATGTTTTTGTTAGTCTCTTAAAAAAGCGCCAAATGCGATTCACACCACACACCTGTCGATGCGTCAGGTAAGCATCGTGTTTGAAGGTGACGTCTGGAAAGTCAATTTTTCTTCTTGGTTTCGAAGCGTTGTTGAAATGGTGGCTGGTAGATGGTGCTTCAGACTGAAATTAATTTTATAGTGTTACTAATTTTAACACTCAAAACTGTCTTAATCAGTTCTAATGAAAGATAGGTGATGAAACATTTATGGCGCAGTTGATGACGATTGAGAGATAAGCCATGTCATCAAATGCTTTTATTTATGACTTTTGTTTTTGACGTTTTAAAATTTCCATTAATGTGCTTCAAGTTTTTATAAGTAGTATTATGATAATGACTGATGATTACCTCGTTTAAATTGTTATCTTCAATCTTTGATGCATTTGGGACAACAAATCTGAAAATATATATAAAACAGACTGATCAATATTTAAAAAATGAATTCCCATATAAACATCAAAACAATAGTTTTTATTATATTCTAAAGTTATAAATTATTATTTTTTAACATATTTCAAGTTCGCACTTGCATCCATTTGAAGAGTTGAAAAATGATCAAGCAGCACGACTAAGATAGCCTACATAGCATACAAAGTGAAAACATTAAAATATCAATATGATAAACATAAACACCGTTATAATTTTTATTTTAAAGGTTTGTTTATGAAACATTTACATTGTTCTGTTCAACCAACTGAAAACCGTTGTATATGAAGTTCACGCGTTTAGAAAGGTTTTAATCATTTCAACATCCAATTTTTATTATTAATTTTTTTAACTCTTGGCAAATTGGCTATGCTAGTAGGAACAGTTGTATAAGAGACTGCATTGCAGTGAGCTGATATGAATTGGATGCTGTCTATTCAAAAATCCAACAATATGTCCCGTCCAACCGCCATCTACCATCTGGGCGCGGTGCAGGGCTAACATGTGTGTGGAGTGGATATGACTTATTTTTCACACAAAAATAAGCACCAATGTTGGTTGGACAATGTTGGAGCAGCTGAAATTATTTTTTGCTGTTTGTTTCTCTTTCTGCTGGGATTTCTATTGAAGTTAAATAAATTTTTTTACTTTCGTTTTTTTACACCACAATGATCTTAGCCGCTATTGGCTGTAAATGTGAGGTGTGATGTGGTGTGGTGGTTTCATCATTGCTATCAGTGCTTCGCGCGGTCAATAGTGTTGGATCTCAACTAATTTTCAAAAGATTTCAATTTTTGTTTTTTATTTTATTTGAAATAAATTTTCAGAGGTTATAATTGTTCAGTAAGTTTGTAAAAATTTGCTGGTGAAGTGCATGATTGTAAGTAAAACTAAACACGATTTGGATGCAATGTTGTCAAACCAAACTGGAACCAAAAAATCATTTGCAGAAAATTTTTAGATTGAAAAAATTGAACCCTAAATAACTAAAATAATGAAATAGAAACCAAAACAGAATAGCACTTTTACAACAGAATAAAAAAAGCTACGCTGTCACTTCTTAGCGATTGACACCAACAAATATTTATATATCATACTATATATATATTAACTACATGGTCAAAACGATGCAATCTGTCACTTAATCTTAATAAATCATTCGAACTCATCATTCACAATTGCCGTAAGAAAATAACATTAACTCCAGAACAAAAGTCAATTAAAAATATTAGGCATCACATTCACCTCTTCACTTAATATAGCACCTCATTTCAATCACATCATCACAAAAGGCTTTCAAACATTTCACACACTCAAAACACTCCGCCCCCATGGTCTCAGAGGCATAAAATTATTCGACATCACTGAATCACTCATCTTCTCACGCATCAAATATGCAGCTCCCTCCAGGTCCGGTTTTGCTACACAACAACAACTTCAGCAACTACAATCTCTCATTAAAAAACTAATCCGTCTCAACTATCTACCTGCATCATATCCTACCGTCACTCAGATATTCAACACACTCGATTCAAGACTGTTCAAGAAAGTAGAAAATAACAACAACCACGTCATCCATCCTCGACTACCACCAATCAAAACTACAACACACAGCCTTTGTCAGCGCAAACATAACTATCAAGTCGTCGCCCAATCTACATACCAGGAAAGACTTTCATCACAAGACACCTCAAACATATTAGCACTCCATAAAACTTCATCATTCACACAACTAGTTTTTATTTATCGATTACCTCACCAACTCGCTAAGTCATCCTCTAGTCTATTAATTTCCGTTTTTATGCCATTGCTTCAATTCATTGTCAATTTATTTTATTTTCGTTTATTTATTTTATTATTATCATTTATTATTTATGTTATTCTATTTTATTTTTCATGTCTAAACATTTTTCTCTCTCTCTTTTTTTTATTTATTCATTTATTCGTATAATTTTGTTCTACCGCCTTGCATGCTGTATAAAATAATATCATGAGGCATTGCATGAGTTCTAAGATAGCGTTGAATCTCCACAACGCGCGAAGGCAAGAAAGCAAACATGCATTGTAGACTCTGGCTGTGTTACACACGCTACAAAAACATTTCATGCTCACGGAATAGTCTCAGTTTAAAAAGCATCTCGAGAGGCAAACGAATGTTAAATTAAATTTAACTAAAACTGAGATGGCAGTTAGCGATAAAAAGATAAATGAAAAGCAAACTTTTGAGCTTGAGAGCGGTGTTGTAAAGTTGCTAGCAACAAAAGAAGTAGCAGACCCAACTTCAACATATTTCAATTTATATTTTAATTTGTTTTTTTATGAAAATCAGAGTCAAAATAATTAAAAAAAACTTTTAAATAGTGCTAGAGAAATAAAACTTGTGACATTTTATACAAGAAATGAACACGACACAAGCACTTGAAATTACTGTACTTGAAATCATAATTAACACTTTATCGTGAACGCGTGCAAAAATTAATAATGACTCGAAATGAATTTTTTATGTTCTCCATTTTATTATTTACTTATTTATAAGAACAGCAAAAAACAAAATTATTATTTTGTTGATGTTTGGCGATTACAATTAGTTTATTTACAAAATTGAGAATAATTAACACCTACCAATTTTCAGAATTAAAATTTATTTCTAATTGTAGTATTTTCCAAGTGAATATTTTAGATAATGTTTGAAGAACAAACACTTTCACAAGTGAACCTTCTATTGTGACAACTAAGTTTAGTTTTTAATTTTATTGCGTCGCAAACTGTCTAAGTTGAAGTGTTTGAAGGGCTGATGATGAGAAGAATCGAAACAGGACGTATACGCTTTATCCTGTATACTTAATCTTCTATTTTTATTAAATTGAAAAATGATCTTATGAATTTTTGTAACTATTAAAACCTGAAAGTTTTAGAGGGTAGGGAAAACGGTAAAATATTGACAGTCCATAAAAATAAATGAAGAAATCACAATTTAACTGTTAGCCGAAGATCTCCGGCCAGATGTTGATGGCACTGCTCTGACCGAAGCAAATACTGAGAAAAAGTAATCTGAACATTTACCCATTTGAATAACAGGACTGTAATTATAAAAACGACGTGTCGTTGGACCAGCAAGCATTGAAAGCCAATCAATCTACCAGTAATGTGATCTTCGTAAGCAAGCCACATTAACCGAATTTTGCAGTCTTTGTAACATATTAAAATCCACGCTTTGATAGCCATACATTTAACCGTTGCCATAATCTAGAAGAAAATGTAAACATGAAATCACTAATGAACAGAAAACATCCGGTGGCAAAATTTTTTTATTAAACTTCATTTTCAAAGCTGTACAAAACCGGAACCGAGTCTTGAGGGAGCCCCACTGACAACAAAACCCGACAAACAAATCCTTTGCCTCCTGTCGGTTAAAAACGTTACTAGGCAGCTGAGAATATGATTTTCAACTCCAAATGATACCTCCAACTTTTTTACCCTATTGAGTGCTGCCCCTAAATACAGCATTGCAAGCAAAACTCCCGTTTGTTGCTAATATGATCCATAACATCCTCAAACAACATCCTCAAATAACATCCTCAAATAACATTATCAAACACTTTAAGTAATGCTGAGACTGTCTCAGGAGAGACAAATGAACGGTAAGCGAACTGAACTTTTAGCAGCTACCAAATATTGCTATTCTAATTAATTAAACGTTCATTAACCAAATGTTTAGCAATGTTTTACAATACGAAAAGTGAAAAATCGGTCGATAATTTTTTCTTTCGCATTTAGCAAGACAAACTTGTTCACAAACGAAGTGATCACAGCCATTTTCAAACCTACGAGAACACCGCCGGTGTCAAATGATATGAATACACTGCAAACACGACGAAAAAACGACAACAAATCTTCTTACTATTGAAATAATATTTATGTATATTATATATGTTTCAATATATTTATGACTTTCCATAGTTTCAGACAATCTTATATTATTGCTAACTTGACTAACTTGCACGTGTATGCTTTTCGCTTTTTGTCGACTAACGTGTCTTCTAATATTTCAATTAACGTTTCTTTAATAAACAATTATATTAAAAACAAACAAAGAGGTTTTTTATTTTAAACAGGTTATGTGCCCAGAACGCTTAATAAATTGTTTAGAGAAAAAGTTATTTTGAAAAAAAAGAGATTGCAATTCGTGACTAAAAGAACTTTTCCAACTATCGTTGAAGCAAGAACATCAATTTTTTTTTTTCTTCAAAATGGACTCAAAGCTTCAAATAAAACAGTTATGTTGCGCAGCCGATTGGCCCATTTGGAAACGTCGTGTTTGAGATTTCATGGACTACCATGAGGGCGCACTTGATGTGATTGATGGGAAGTTGTCAAAACCAGAATTACTAGAAAATCAAACAGAGCAGCAGACAAAAGATTTTAAAAATAAATCAGATCTGTTTATCTTGTGAATGCAGTCACAGAAGATACATACCAAAAGATAATGGACAAGAACACAGCGTTTGTAGTTTGGGAGGAATTAAAAAGAAATTTTGAAGCGTCAACTAAGGACCAACTGTTCCAAGTTTGTAGCAATTTTTTCGATTTGTTACTTTTGAGAAGTTTGTCGCACCATGTTCTGTTCAAGCTGCAGGAAAAGAAGTTCTTGCTGCTGTGGGTAGAGGCGAAATAAATATGCTATCAACAGTAAATAACAAACAACAGTATATAAAACTCTCAGATGTCTGGTATGTTCCAAATATAGGTAGAAACCTGTTTTCCATATTAGCCGCACAAGATAATAATTCAAAAAACAGCAAGTTTGAATCTTATGCAACCAAATGTCAATTCAGTATAAAGAACCGAGTGGTAGTACAAGGGACAAGACAAGTAGATGGTTCCTTGTATGAGGCAAACTTGATTTCATTAACTCCAGATACACCGGCTGAAATGAATATAATCAGTGAAAATTCAATAGTGTAGCTCTACCATGAACGTTTTGGTCATCAAGATAAACGTCACATAAAGAATGTTATAGAAAAGGAGTTAAACATTAAAGTTCATCTTGACAAGGATTTGTGTGAACCATGTCTCTATGGTAAAGCACATCGGTTAAAATTTGGCAAGAGAAATGTAACCAATAAACCAGGTGAACTACTATCAGCAGATGTTTGTGGTCCTTTCAGTACAGAATCATTTAATAGTAAACGATATTTTGTTGTTTTCAAAGATCATTACAGCAAAATGAGGTTCATTTCTTTTCTTAGACACAAAAATGAAGTGAAACAGGCACTACAAAATATTTTGTCTCAAGCAGCGACTCAAAGTCATAAAATGTTTTGAAACAAGGGAAAGTATTGAAATAACATACATGTATATTATATATGTTTCAATATATTTATGACTTTCCATAGTTTCAGACAATTTTATATTATTGCTAACTTGACTAACTTGCACGTGTATGCTTTTCGCTTTTTGTCGACTGACGTGTCTTCTAATATTTCAATTAACGTTTCTTTAATAAACAATTATATTAAAAACAAACAAAGAGGTTTTTTATTTTAAACACTTACAAACGACTCTAACAAAATATTATTTTTTTAGGTGATTTTGCGACAAATTTCCTAAGTAGTGAGCACAACTAGTTTACATAAAATGCAAAGCTATCAAATTTAAACTCCTGAAATTCAGAAGCAGCTGCACAAACGGTATAAACTTTATTATTAAATAACATCAAATTATTTTTAAATAATATCAAAGGACCTTAAGCCACATTACCAGACCGATTTCTGTTTCTAAACTTTTTTAGAATTTACTTCACTAACTCATCCTTTTTGCCTGACATTTTTTTTTGTTAAACTATTTTTCTTCACGCTCTGTATTAGCCAAGTTCAAAACAATTCTGATATAATCATGTTTCAATTAATAAAATAGTTTAGCGACTTCCAGAGCAACATAGCATTTGTTTTATTAATTGAAACATGATTATATCATAATTGTTTTGAACTTGGCTAATACAGGTTGTGAAGAACATGCAATTCACATTTCCAGATTGACCTTGGGTCATTCATTCTACGGCGTTTTTCGGTTGAATTGCAAGCACACCTGACGGACTGCCTAGTCATAAAACACTCGTCATCAAATTAAGCAATCTTATTGACCATTGGTAAACAAAACCATTAGAACCAAATCATTACATTTCATTCAATACTTTTATGTATAAATCATACAATTCATCAAAAAAAGCCATCACCAACAAAGAGAGTTCCCAAAAGAGTGGAAAAACGAACATACCTGATATAATAAAAAATTGAGATGCTTTTTTCAACAGGGATACAATGAGTCTTAAAAAGATTAATAATGTAATTAGTGCTACCATCCAAACTAAATGCGCAATTGACCAACGAATGATCAGAAATAAACAAAAGAGATACAAAAGTAGAAAACGCAGATGACGGCGAGTTTGTCAAAAAATATCAACTGTGTTACCATCATTATTTATGCGTAACGAGCTGAAAAAATACTAAAGAGTCATCCAAGATCAAAACTTAGTGCTCATATTAGACAAAATAAAGGCCAAATTCACTCAAAATTTTTATTGAGAGTCAAAGAACCAGGTCTATACACTGAAACTTGAAGCATGTAATAGGCAACGACAGCGTTATATTTAGATGTTTGGTTAGATATCTGGCTCTTCATGAAAGGACACATTAGGATGTTATCAGTCTCAAGCATGATTCACCTCGTTTGAATAGATCTGCATTTGCAACCTTACTTCAGTACTTTAAAATTCCCTGACCGAATTATTGTAACAAATTATATTTTAAATTTCCTGACAAATTAATTGCTTTGCTCCAGTCAACCCAGAATTTTGCTGCCAAACTTTACCGAAAACCTGAAACTTGATTATGTAACTCCAATCTTAAATGAGCTTTACTTGTTAAAAATTTAAAAAAAGATGAACTTCAAATTCAGTGCGTCATAGCGTTCTGAATATTTATCACGTAAGATTAGATGACATGCATCCGCTCGTTAAACCTGTGTAATATGCCCATGAGTTGTTTTAAAAGGCACGTGGCAAAAGATAAAATGTATTTTATTTTTCATTTTCAAATGACATTAAATAACGCAATAAAGGTGAGCCACGGGTTTAATATTTTTTAGGTCCATAGCTGCAATCGCAAGCCTAATTGTTATAAGTACAACATATCAAGTAAGAATTTTCATTGGCTGTCTAAAGGTCAAGACATAAGTGTTTGACTATACATTACAGTTTTTAATTATTTTCTGGTACTCAATGACATCTAATGTTTTATAATTTAAACAAATACCGACCAACATTTTTTCAAGTTAAAGAACAGTTAAAGCCGATGGCATACCTCTAATTTTTTCATTTTGTTAGGCAACGTTATGAACGGCTTTTAAAAACTTCACCTGTAGTAGATTTTAAATCAACCGGCCTTGAAATCTAAATCTGCTGAAACGTGTGAAAATATTTTCATCCTGAAATGAGTTGTTTGGAATGGAAGATTGGCTCAATCAACTTGCAATTTCGATGTAGCCGATTCAGACGCTACAGCTTCAAGTTTGTTTCTCTCTGATAAATTTGACTGAAACCAATTCAATGCAGAGTCGTTGATAATGATACCCTAGGAGGTTGAAAATCGTTTCAACATACAACATAATATGATCAACGGTGTCAAAAGCATCGAAAAATCCGTGTAGATCTGAGTTAATTTTTTCAACTGCTTCTCAGATGTCGTAAAATGCTTTCAATAACGCAGTCTCTGTCGACTGATAAATGATTATGGCATAATGATGATTTTTATTTCCGTTCAAATATCTGACGAGCTGATAGGCAACAAGCCGTTTACAAGTTTTTAAGAATTAGAGTGTGTTTGTGTTTGTGTGTGTAAGTGTGTGATCTGTTCGTGTGTGTTCAAGTGTGGGGTATCCGTGGGGTAAATTCGTCACTTTAAAAACTCTTTCAACTGAAACTTATGAACTAGTACACAGCCACATTTTCGAGATTCCGAAGAAGCGTGGACAAACTGTAATATTAGGTTCAAGTTGAAGTATGATAGATGATGATTTGATGTTTGGAATATTCTAAAATATTCTCTACTTTATTTTTGTTATACGTCCTATAGCGTCATTCTTTCAGTGCATCGATGCATAGATTGTTGTGATCAACAGACAGTCCAACAGATTAAACAAAGCTCTGCTCATTTGACAACATATCAACGATACGAATGTGAATTGTTTTCTATTGTACTGCTCGTCTGAAGATCACGACTTGAGTATATTATAACAAATGTTAGGAGTATTTGCTAGATGGCTAATGTTTGTTTCAATGTTTGATTTTATCAATTTCTGGTTTTCAACATATTAGCATTTATTTGAGATTAAAAGAGTTTGATTATGATGATGAACAAAATTGTTTTAATTTCCCTCTTCTTACCAACGGCATTTCAATTGACATGGGTGAGTAAACTGATTGAGTGAACAATTGAGTTAGTTGTTCTCTTAAAATAATACAATGATTTTATACATCGCATTGATTTCCGAAATGACAACCTAATTACTACACGTGTGGCCCACACAGGCAAGTTGCAATAATTCCCTGATAACTCAGAAAGCGTATTTTGATGTTGCCATTGGCAATGAATACTGGGGCAGGATAGTGGTTGGCTTGCTTGGAGATACGACCCCCATCACAGTTCTCAACTTTGCAACTTTTGCCAGCAACCATAACAACAAAGGCTACAGCGGAACAATATTTAACAGAGTTTATACAAATATGGCCATTCAAGGTTTGTGGTTGCGTTGAAATATTTTTTTAATCTCGAAATGACACAAGATTGACAAAAAACTCGTAGGTGGCGACATTCTGTTCAACAATGGGTCGGGATCAACCAGCATCTTCAACGGAGGCGAAGATTTCCCCGATGAAAATTTTTATTTCTCAAACGACAGAGGTTTCATCGGAATGGCCAATCGAGGTAAAAAAAACAAATTAACTCAAATATAATCCAAAAATTTTTTAAAATTATAAATGAATCTTGGACCACAATGTTGAAATCTTAAACTACAATAACAACCATTATAATTTACGACTGGACGAATCAATACCTACTCATAGAACAAAGACATCCGATAATAAATATTCAACAACGGGCAATTGGAATTCTTCCTACCAATAAGTTTAGAAACTAAGGAATCATCGATAATGAAAACACTTAAAAGTGTTATACAAAACGAAGTTGAAGTCTGTAAAACTAATTAAATGAGCGTTAGGTATTCACTTTGAACAAACAAGGAATCAACAAAGTAGAATAGAGACACAGTATATAACATATATATATTTCGGCATCTGGACAAATAAACAACGTGTCATTTCCAACACCGAAGATGGTATAGGAATACTGGAAAAAACTTTTTTGTTCTATCATGCATAAAACAAACAAAAATTTTGGTTTTAAACTCAAGAAACTTGAAAATGATTTACGATCAACCGTTATAAAAATCGAAAAATTAAACAGAAAATTAACTAACGCCGAACATGCTGTGATTTTCATCAATAATTGCATTTCTGACAGTCTTAATCCAATATATAAATAAAGAAATATATATATATATATATTTATTTATATATTTATGTATATATATATAAACACCTTATATATATATAAACATCTTATATATATATATATATATATAAACACCTTATATATATATATATATATATATATATATATATATAAACACCTTATTTCTTGATTGTACACTGCGTATATTAACTTCCACCATACATGCAACATCAGGTGCAAACACAAATGGATGTCAGTTCTTCATAAACTTGGCACAGAACACCTTCCTCAACAACATATACGTCGTCTTCGGCAAGGTCCTCTCTGGTCTCGACGTCGTGGACAAAATTGCGAGCCTGCCGTTGGACGACAAGGGTGTGCCGTTGGTGCCGGCCACAATAGTTGGCTCTGGAACCTTCCATCCGAAGGAACCATTCCCAGTTCCTATCGGGACATATTTTTGAAGAAATAAATTACAATTTATTTTATCTAGTACACTTTTAAAATTGAAATTAATTAAATAGACTTTATTTTGTACAAAATTTCTCATTTAAAAATAAAAATGTGTTTCTTATTGAAATATGTATATTTTAAAAACAAAAATAAATATTTATAATGAAATGGTACATTATACTGCAATAAAATACAGTTTTTTCCTTACTCTTCTTAATGCAGTCCTGTCAAACGCAGTGCTGCTTCCATGTTACGTTATTCTATACTTATATAAAAATCGATCATATATAACAAATTGTATCGTTAATTAGTTTCACAATATTCTTTAAACTATTCAACTGTCACGATATTTCACAATATTCTTTAAACTGTGCTTAGCATCAAAAGGCATGATTTAATTTGAGTAAATTAAATTTTAGTGTAGTTTCAAAATGTACAAAACTTCCAAACGTTGCATTTGTTAATTTTATTGGTCATTAAAAAACTGCCCTTGTTATCAGCCAAAACACTCAAACAATACACACATACATAAATAAATAAATTTATATGTGTATAAATATAAAAAAGTAAAAAATTATATATATATATATATATATGTAATGTATATGTATGTATATACAGTGGCATATTGATGCACTTCATAATACAGATTGCATGGGTAACGTTATGAAAGTTTATGATAAGGCAAATTTATTTGTTAGACATTTTATTGATTTTTCTTTGGATGGTGTATATATTCCTGTTGATGAAGGCCAAATTAAGTTGAAAAGTTTAAATAAGTATAAATCTTCGGGTCCGGATAATTTGTTTAGTAGGGTGTTGTTTGAATGTAAGGATGTCATTGCACAATTTTTATGTAGGTTATTTAATCTGTCACTAGAGTTGCATTCTGTTCCAAATGATTGGAAACATAGCTTGATTGGGCCTGTGCTTAAAAGGGTGATGTCACTAATGTAACTAACTACAGACCTGCATCACTATGTTGTGCTTATTGCAGTGATGGAATCAGTTATTAAGGATGAATTAATAGGATATTTGATTAATAATGATCTGTTTGATAGAAGACAGTATAGTTTTAAGCCTAAAAATTCTGCTGTAATGCAGTTGTTAAAAATGGTGGATGACTGGAGTGTGGCAATTGATGGAGGTGACGAAATTTGTGTGATTTATACTGATTTTGTGAAGGCTTTTGATGTAGTCCTTCACACTAGTTTGATCAAGAAACTTTCTGACTACGGTGTGAATGGGCATATTGTTGAATGGATTTCGGATTATCTTAAGAAAAGAACTTTTATGGCTAGGGTGAATGGAAGCACAGGGAAGTGTTATGGGTCCTGTGTTGTTTGTTATTTATTGAATGATATTTTTGATTCTGGGATTGGCCTTTATACGAGTGCCGATGATGCTATGATATTTAAACAAGATTCAAAAATTCAACTAAAAATTTTTTGTTACACTTTACGATCTTTAGTCAGGTCAAAGACGTGTGTATGGTCTTCATGGTCACTGGGGGTTATAGAATACATCGAACGTGTTCAGAAGAGGGCTACTAAGGTGGTTAAAAATTGTCTTGGAATTAATTATGAACGGAGATTGGGATTTCTCACCCTACCTACACTTAGGTACAGAAGTCTCATGAGTGACCTCATTTTGGTTTACAACGTAACAAGAGATTGGGATCATTCTGCCTGCTTTTCTGTTATAGAAGAGACCTTACGACGAACGAACAAGGGGCATCCATTTAAGTTGTCTACTCATAATTTTAAAAAGAATAATGGAATATTTAAATTTTTGAACAGTGTGTTGGATACATGGAATAGCTTGATTGTTGATGTTGTGATAGCTGGTGATGTTGATTTGTTTAAGGTTCGTTTGTAAAGACATATGTTTGATAAAGATCGGAGGCATTTTTGTCGTTTTTCATTTGTTTTGCTGTTCACATGAATTATTTTGTTGGTGTAAATTTTGTATGCTCTCATGTATATATGTACGTAAATTTATTTTTTCAAATACGTATGTGTGTGTGCATGTATGTGTATATGTATATACGTGTACGTATATATCTGTATCTAGACAGTCGTAAATTGATTACTTAATTAACCCTTCTATATGCATTCATTTGTGTGTCTTCATGCACGTACTTCTAAAGTTTAATAGATGTAATTTGATTTATTTGGTGTTATTTTAATTTAACACTTTGTTTTATATAGATAATTTATTAATTATTATTTTTTTGACATTACTATTATTCTTTTAGTTAGAGGGGTATAATTTGATGGAGACATAGGAACGTCAGTTCGCGCCACATTATTTACTGTTTAGGCAATTTTCACAATTTTTACAATTTTTAGTGAAGGCACTATTACAAGTATCTTTTTGTTTACTTTTTGTGTCTTTGAAGAAATATATATATATATATATATATATATATATATATATATATATATTAACTTAAATGTATATATATAATGGGTTTCCAAAGCGTTGCTCTAAATTACAATTCATAAACAAGCACACCACACGTTTAGAATAAAATTAATATAAACAAACTAAATACATTAAGAGCCATACAAAATGCTTACATGTAAAAACGACATTTTATTCTTTTGAAATAAACTAAATAAAAACAAGACGCAAAACTCAGTACCACGTGACTAAGGTCAAATTGAAAGTCTGAATGATAATTTGAATGAAAATTGGATATGTAGAGAAAATGGAGTTATAACAAATGACCAGTTTTTTACGCTGTTTAAGAATGTAAATTGAAATGTACTTAATCTCATTGAGATACCATGCAACAATCAAACTGATAGGCTCAGAGTTTTGTACCTAACACGTAAAATCTAGAAAACGTAGAACAAAAATAAATTACAGAAATTTATGGTGCATAAAAAATAAATTTTTTTATGTCATAAAACAAAGAGTGACCAATAAAATACTTCTATACAATATGTTAAAGTGAATTCAAAAATGTTGCCTTTTGCATTAATTTAACGATTTTTGCTTATAATTTAGAAATGTTTTCAAATTAATCTTTTTTTATTTATTTGGTAAATTTAGACACTCTTATATATTAATACCCCGAGACGAAACATAGAAATTATTTTGTCTGCTAGTTAAATAAATTTAAAATACTAATGAATGTTCAAATCAAACGCAGTAATCGTGATTCCAGTCCCGAAGGTTGCTCTGCTGTGATTATTTTATTCTTTGCTTAGTTGTGGTTGATTTATTCACCTACCTTTTAATCTATTATTCTACTGTATAGAATTTCTTCTCTTGTTCTCTTTTCTTTCTATTTCTCATCTCTCTCTACCTCTCTCTCTCTCTCTCTCAAACACATTTCAGTAATATACGAAAAAGCAGAAAGATACATAAATAGAATTTTGCTGTCTAACGGCTTTGCAAGTTTCTCATTCTAACTGATTGATCGCCCAAGATAGACCAAACCAATTTCTTTACGAAAGTTTTAATAAAAAATGAATAAGCTTTGCTTGATACTGCTTGTTGCAATTAATATTTCCTCGGCTTTTGTAATTATATCTTATGTTTTTAAGTTATTTTTTTAAATGTTCAGACAAAATAATCGATTGATTTATAAAATGTAATTAATTAATTAATGCAGGCTGGCCCAGGTACTGTCGGCTTGAAAGCCCTTTTCGATATCAGAATTGGAGATGAATATGTTGGGAGGATAGTCTTCGGCTTAATGAATGAGACTTGCCCTCTGACGGTAGCCAACTTTGCAGCCCTCTGTGACGGCAAGTTACCGGGTGGAGTGGGTTATATGAACTCCACCTTTCACAGAGTCATCAAGAATTTCATGATACAGGGTTAGACTATTTGGTTTCATTATTTTAATTTATATTATTATAATTCACGACGGTTTTATATGTCAAACAATATGTAAATTATGAATTGATTTCGCGCGAACGTAGGTGGAGATGTTGTCAATGGCAATGGTTACGGAGTAAAGAGCATCTACAACAACGGGTCAAACTTTAATGATGAGAACTTCATTCTCAAAAATTACATCGGCTGGCTCGGGATGGCTAACGCCGGTAAGACTTAATTTTCATTTTCAACTTAACGTTCAAATTTGAAAATTCTGCACTACAAATATACAAAAAATTTTACGCAAGTTTATAAACTTATTTGCTTCATAGTTTTTAAATACTAACATTTGTATATAATAATATAAAAAATATTTTTTTCAAAGGGCCAAACACGAACGGCTGTCAGATCTATATTAACACGGTTCTCACACCCTGGCTGGACAACAAGCACGTCGTTTTTGGCAAAGTGCTTTCAGGTTGGGACGTAGTGAAGCAGATCGAAAACAATCCGATCGATTCCAACGATCGGCCAATAAAACCAGTGGTCATCTCATACTCTGCCACATTCCCCGTCGACAAACCTTTCGACGTTCCATTGGCTTCTATTTAATTTCCTTCAAATAATATGCATCGACAAAAATTTGAAGTATTTATTGGATGAGTCAAAGTTGAAATTTCATTATGCTTTTCATTTATGTTGAAACTATGTAATTGTAAATTTTCAAAAAAAATTTTATATAACAATTTATTATTCTAAAAAAAATAAATGCATAACAAAAAACCCTATAGCATGAAATTATCACGAAGAAAAAAATTAAAACCAAAGCTAAATCACAAGCTTATGATAAAGTATGGCTACAATTTATCAAAACTCACAAGCTGAAATTAACCAACGATCGTGTAAGGTAAAACAAAGCCGTCTAGTTTGTATACTTTCTCTGGTTTTCAGACAGATTTGAAAATTCGTTTAAATTGAAAAAAAACAGATGATAATCATCAAAGTTCCTCATTTGTCTTTAATTACTTCTATTTCTATCATTTGTTTACACATGAAACATTTGGTTAAATATATAACCAATCTTCTAAATATTTACAATATGCATAATTTCTTACACAGACCTGATGTCAATATTGTTTTTGTCGATTTGTTTATATATCGCAGATTGCCATATTAAACAAAATGTTAACATTTTAAAATACATACCGTACTTATATTCTTACAGCTAAATAGTGTTTAACTGATTACTGATTCAATTTTTTGATGTGAAACTAAATTCGAAAGTTTACAAATGGAAAAACTACAAAGAACGAATATTAATAGTATGGCAATATTATTAAACGGAAAAGTTTTTAAAAATGCATTTATGGTGCGTGTAATTATATGCAGGACACCATTATGTTATAAAGTGTAAGGTTGGTTGCCCTGCAAAAAGAACTTTAACAGTTTCAACCTGCCCTTCACATTACATTACACCTTCCTTACAGCATCTCTACATTCATCTTAGTTTCAAGCGTTCCAGCATTCCAGTCATAAATTATAACTTATAAATGATTGAAACATTGTTTTCAGAAAATGCTCAAAAAGATGACATGAGCGTTTGAACGAAGTTTTGTTTGTGGAATCGAAAATTTTTATCTGTTGAGTTTTTTTTTAAATATATCATTTTTATTTTCATTTGAATATAATTGAATAGAACGAAATAGAAATGATATAGCGCGTTAAGCCCAAAATGATTGACGAATGACGATCGGTGATGATCAAGCTAATCAAGTCTTTTATAATCAACTTTATTATACCATTAAATATATTTAATTTTATATAGATGCCATGCATTAAGAACTTCTGAAAGAAAGAAATAGAAGGAGAGAGATAGTCAGACAGAGAAAGACAAATACTGTTAAATTTCTTGCCACGTAGATTGTTTAATTAATTGATATAATATTGAAAGACATTAAAAGAAGAGAAATAAACTTAGCAACGTTCTTGACTTGTTTATTATCAACCGGAAAAACAGAAAAGAGAAAGTGAAATTACATACAAAGCAAAGAACATTTGGTCCAAAGAAAATAAATGTATATTAAAAATATTAAAAAGATAAGTGTGTGTTTGTGTAGGAGCTTTTGTGCTTTAATCATTTATTTAACAATTTGTTCCTATTAATTTCACTACTATAAGATCGTGGTAATCAAACATTTAAAACATTTTTGAAGAAATGTACGAGAACGTGACTGTAAGATTGGGGCTTACAAAGAACGTTAAATATCGATGCATGCATGTTATTAATACAAATAAATGATAGACTCACCTACCTATACGTTATGCTGTGCACTAGTGTAATAAATAGCGGACACATTTAACTTGCACGACTTGTATTGCTGGATTCAACTCAGCTGCCAAATCATTGTTCTGCTCTTCATTGTTGTACATAAGCCGATTGACGTTGTAGTCAGCATCGTTTATAAATAAAATGATTACTGCGAAACTATTTAAATACCTTTCAGGACACGATAATAGAAATGCAAATACAAAAATCGTGATCGCACTTACAAACCGCACGAACACATAGTGTTAGGTAAAATATTTTTTAATTTTTAATCAGAATAAAAATTCATTCTTCAATAAATGACTTTAAAATTAAGATCAAAATTTATAATTCTGTGAAATGATTTGAAATCAGAAGCGAAGGCAAGGGGTAGTTTAGTTTAGGAACTTGAGCCCCTGCACAACCGAATGTTTTGTTATGGTTAAAGCTAAAATATACACAATTTTTATATGAATTTGTAAAAATTTGGACTGAAACCTATTTCAGTCATCTAAATCAACAAAATTAAGTCAAATTTTGCATAAAATTACCTGTTTAATTGAATACCGAAATTTGTTATAAATTGAGTGATAAGGATAAAAAAGGTCGCCAATTTTTGTCGAACAGATTTAAGTCAATTTGAAATGAACACCATAATCACCTATTCTGTTCTGACATGAATTTAAATCAAAATAAAAAATAAACCAAAAACAAATAAAATCATAGTTTTAAATTTAAATAATTTAATTTTCAATTCTTTTTTTATGTGTGAGTATGGATGTAAGTGAGTATGGATGTGTGTGTGTGTAAGTATAGATGTGTGAGTGAGTATGGATGTGTGTGAATGCGTATGGATGAGTGAGAGAGTGTAAATTTACATTTTTCATTTAAATGTTATAATTTGGAACAAGCAAATTTGACATTTAATTTTTTCCAGTTAATTTTCATTAGTCGCTTTCTTTTTGTCTTTCTTAAGAACAAATGTTTATTTAATTTTTGATTGACATTTTGAAGAATTTTGACAATTTATGTTCCAGCTGGTTGTGCTGGATGAGTTCCTCAATGGACTTTACCATAATCATCCTGCCTTTTTATCATTATGTTGTATCATATTGAGGAGAAAATAAAATATTGTATTGTAAATATTATTGTAATAGTACATGCTACTAATTTTACCACCACTGTTATTACTACTATTGCTACTGTTACTTCAACAACAACAACTACTACAACAACTACTACAACAACTACTACTACAGCTACTATTACTGCCTCTACTACTGCTACTACTACCAATAACTAATACTACTACCAATAATAATAATAACATATACAAAATTCGTATACGTTGTTTTTAGTTAAGAAGTTATTTTCTATCAATATTTTGTCAATCCAATTGCAGATAGTGAAAAAACCAGCATGAGAAGATGTTTCTAGTTTTATTAACTTACGTTTTGTTTTCTTATTACTGACACCCGATATCAAAATCCTGTTGGAGCGTCAAGATGGAAAATTACTGCTCTAATTTTCAGCGTTAATTCGATCAATTTTTTCAAAATTTGTAGAAAATCAAATATTGAAAGTTTACAACTGTAAAAATATGTTTCTCGGGTTTTTTGAAAATAGATTATATAAGTGTTTGTAGATTTAAGTGTGATTTGAAAAATTCAAAAAAGGAAAAATTACTAACAGGTGATTTTGTTATTTTAAATACTTTTGAAAACGATTTAACATGAAATCCTCTTACAATAAGTATAAAACTATAAACTTTTAATATAAGAGATTTAAGAGAATTGTGGAGATCACTTTATGCGGCGTGAAAAATTATGGTTTTATCCAACACTGGTCTCATGCTGTCTCTCAAAACCTGATGTGGCTAAATTTAGAATTAATTGAGTAGTTTTTTGTATAATGGTGCCAAAATATATAAATTTCAGTCAAAGCTATAGACCCACAAACAAACTGTGTCTATTTTTCATTTTAAAAAAATAATTTTTGGCCGTTATGTTATTCTATTTGATTATGTGCTTTGTTTGTAGGAAGTTGAGAGCTGGAAAGATCCAAAAAATTAAATTAAAAAATTTTAATTCCAGCTCACCACAAGCGCATACTTTCTCGCAAGTGACACACTTTTGGAGTTGTGCGTGTGTACGTGTGCGCGCGTGTGTTTGCATGTGTGTATGTGTAGCTATGAGTGTTTATGTGTGACGTCTGACGTGTCAAGCCAAGTCTAAGCTACACATTCTTGCCTAGCTAGAGCGTAGCGTGCACTATAGACATTTAAATATCTATCTTTATCATTATAAGCATGAAATAAAATATATGCAAATACATATAAATAAATATATATATACATACATACGTACATACATACATATATACATGTTGGTAATAGACCATAATTTTTACAATATTCTATAAATTCTACCGAATGTTTGGCGTTAATATGTTTGTAGTTCGTTTTTTCAATTTTTCTCACTAAAGTTTTTTGTTCAACGTTTAGTTGATTAAAATTCAAAATAAACTTATTTTCCGAATTCATGCTGCAAATAAGGCCATATTTCGATTTCGAATGAATCATCATCAGTGCTTTCTGCTGTTTATTTAGGGAAATATTGACTTTGTCAAAGTGAACTTAGATGGAGATTGACTTTGCCAAAATGAACTTAGATGGAAATTAGGTGTCAGGTTTCTTTATTGGAGACCAAAGGAGACCAAAGAAGATGACCAGCCAATAAAGAAACCTGACACCTAATTTCCATCTAAGTTCATTTTGGCAAAGTCAATCTCCATCTAAGTTCACTTTGACAAAGTCAATATTTCCCTATATAAACAGCAGAAAGCACTGATGATGATTCATTCGGAATCAAAATATGGCCTTATTTGCAGCATGAATTCGGAAAATAAGTTTATTTTGAATTTTAATTAACTAAACGTTGAACAAAAAACTTTAGTGAGAAAAATTGAAAAAACGAACTACAAACATATTAACGCCAAACATTCGGTAGAATTTATAGAATATTGTAAAAACATATATACATGTACATGTATAAATAAATGACTATTAAATTATATATATATATATATATATATATACATATACAACATGAACACGTTATATATTTATACATATACAATACAACTAAACAAAAAGAATTCATTCTTAATGCCTTATAATGAGGATAAATAGATTCTCTGTTTCTTCTTGAAATCATGCAGATTTAGGTCCGGATTTCTGAGAAAAGCAGGCAGATTTTCCAAACTGTTGGTCCAGAGACAGCAACATTAGGAGAGCCTATAAAGAGACTCGTAGTTGGGACTAACAGCAAATTTGAAACCAAATTTGATTCATCATATTTCAAATGTGCTCCAGAGGCTTTTGAACATCTTTTTTTGAACCTCTTAGACAAATATTGCATCATATATGTATACATAGATAATATATACAATTCTCATTAATCTCTATCGCTATAATATTATTTGTTAATTTTAATTTCTCTATTTTTCTAATAATATATTGTAATTTATTTTTTAGTTTTATTAACTAAATTTATAAAATGTTTAATATTATTCATTTTATTGCTATTAATTTAAATATAGCATATTGAAATAAAAATAAATTATAACACATATATATATATATATATATATATATACACACATATATATATATACACATATATATATACATATATATATATATACACATATATATATGTATATATATATATATATGTATATATATATATATATATATATATACTCTAAATGTTGGAAGGAGACCATATTTTATACAGTATTGTATGAATTATACCGAATTCGGTAGAATTCATACAATACTATATATGTAAATATATTCATATATAAATATTGTCATAGATAAATTAATATATTAACACGCACACACACATATATATGTATATATATATATTTATATGTATATAAATGAATAGGTATATTATATATGTAAACATTTATGATAACATTTGAGCTTTATATTGACTTTATGTGAATTATAGGCATGCAGTATAACTTGGCAAAAACTTCCGAAGAGTTTCTTTTGTTAGGTTGAGTTTCTAACATTCACCTTACGCAATAACATTCCACGTTGAAGATGGAAACAAAATTTTACCTCTTCGTATTTACCATAATTTGTTTCGGAGTAAGTTTAAATAGTTTAATCATTTTTGTTATAATCTCACGGATTTTCACAATCTTTGCAAACATCTTCAATGTTCATTTCATAACAATTTCCGCAGATTGTTAGTGCCGATATCGACAGAACTCGCTACATCGGATTGAAAGCATTTTTTGACATAAGAATTGACGGAGAATATATTGGAAGGATAGTTTTTGGACTTTTTAACTGGACTTGTCCAATCACGGTTAAAATTCAAATTTCAAGTTAATTAAATAAAATGATGTTGTAAAAAGTTTTTGAATGCAAGTTTTTTCTAAATGTTTCTGAAGGTACGAAACTTTGCTGAGCTTTGCGATTCAACAAATGGGTACGGATATCCAGGATCACCTTTTCATAGGACCATAAAGAACTTCATGATTCAAGGTAGTTTTGTGTTACTGAAACAACCCATGTGTGATGTGCGTGTTAATGCAAAACTTACAAATAAAAATAAAATGAACTCCAACTTTGAATCGTAGATTGTTAAGTATATATTGCTACAAATGCATTATAAAATAGGAAAGCAAAACTAATTCAAATTCGAACATCAAATAATCATTTTTATTTTTATCATTATCTCAGTTACATGAATAGAGTTAGACAAAAACTAATTGGCTCGAGAATAATGAATAACACATCACCGGTAAGAATGTGTTCAGTTCATACTGCAACCTGTACCCATCAATGATGTCTCATTACTTTTTAGTATTATGTCAAGCTTCTTCACACTACATTTTAACATTTCATAACAACTGTATTTCAGGTTCTGTACATTGTTGTCTTTATTTATAAAAATGTTGTTGTGGTTTCTCCAGTTGCCGTTGCTGTTAGTCACACTGCGAAAGAAACTAAAAACTTAAAAGTAAAATAACACGCTCGTTGTATACTATAATGTAAAACATGCTTTCGTGTACGTGTTATATATGTGTAAAAATTTAAACATTGGTACCTTGCATAAATACTGGTTCACCTAGACACGTATGAATATATGCATGTTCCAATGTTGTATTAATATATGTGTAATGTATAAATTACATGGTACAGTCAAAAAGTTTCGTAACGGTCAAAGTGATTGGTATAACACAACAAGGAGAGTTAGTTACTTAGCCTAGGATCATTTAAAATGAAACCGCGGTTAAATGAAAACCGCAGAGACAAAAATAAAAGAATTCAATATCTCTTAAACAAAATTCTAACAATTTTTCAAAATTAAAAAATGATTCTAAAAAATAGTTTTAGATACGATAGAAAGTAAACTGAAATAAATTTTTTCTAACTTGTGACAAGATCATCTAAAATAAAGTCATTACAACTGAAAAATCTATAATAAAACAGAAATATAAAACTTATCTAAAAGTAAAACTCACATTCTGAGTATCATAAAAACCTTTCATGTATTCATAATTTAAAATGTTCCAATGGTAGCAAACCCTATTGTTTTTGGAACAGTAAGCAACACGAAGAATTTTTTGAAAAACCGATGCCAAGAAATATTTAACGGCGTTCCTGGTTCCGTATACACATTGTTATGTATGTGTATATATATATATATATATATATATATATATATATATATATATATATATATATTCATATTTTCATTAATAATTTTTGCAATACATACACATAGGCCTACATGCTCTTTATTTTAGGGGGTGACATTGTGAGTGGTGACGGTTATGGCTTCAAGAGCATTTACGGAGGAGAGTTTAACGATGAAAACTTCATTTTGAAAAACTACGTTGGTATGCTTGGAATGGCCAACAGAGGTTATTCGACATTTTTATCATTGCAGTGAAGTTTTGCCATAAATGGTTTTTTTATCATTAATGATTTTGAATGAACTATTTTATGATTCAAATTAACTTTTTCATTAATGTTCTTACTGGCGATCACTCTGTCTATTTTCAAGAAAACCAGAAAGCGGGATGTTTTTAAAAAGTTTCTCGAGTACTTTTTGATTCAACAATTTTGCAAATATTAACTCGTCAAAACATTTATAAATAACGGTCGTTCTTTGTATGTTTAACTTGCTTAACAAAAATATCATACTGAATTCTCTATTGCAGGAAAAAATTCCAACGGCTGTCAAATATACATAAATACCGTTCCAACACCTTGGTTAGACGACAAGCACGTGGTTTTTGGAAAGGTGCTTGCAGGGTACGACGTTGTGAAACAGATTGAAAACTATCCCAGAGATTCCAATGACCGGCCACTAAAACCTATCATAATATCATACTCTGGCACAATTCCCGTTCCTGAACCATATGAAGTTTCTGTACCTTAGATATTCATCGAATGTTTGCTTCAATAGTAATTTAATAGTGATTTTGGTAATTCAGATAAATTGTCATTTGAAAGTAACTTTCAAACTGACTTTCTTGAACTGTTTGGAAAAAAATTTGTGGGCTAGATATTTCGTTTTCAAACACACAAATTTTATCTTTTAGAAATAAAAATACCAAAACTTTAAACAAAATACATTTTAAAAATTTATTTCCATTTTACTGACAGAATGTTTGAAATTTTCAAGACTCAAATTTTTTTATTTTTTATTATCAATATAATCAATGTTAACAAAAATTTATTTACGTTTGTTAAAAATGTGCATAAAAAATGAACTTGTGCCTAATACTTATATCTGTTCAATTAAAACTTCCACATACATTTAATAAATACTATTGATCTGGGTTTTATTTTCTGCTTCTGTGATAAAAATGGGATAATTATTGAAGATAAAAATGCGAGACGATGTGCTTACTTTATAAATTGTATTTATAAAGCAGCCCATCATAGAGTTAAGCGACCAGTTTTATATGTAGGTATTGGTGCTAGTCTTGCTAGAAAATATGATAATGATTGACAATAAACAGGAGAATTATTTTTAAAATTTTGGTGATGATGTTCAAATGTGCTACAGGATGTGCACCCGTCTGAAAATTGGCGAAAGAGGTTATTCCGTGTGTGGAATGGACTACACGTTTGTTCAAGATATATTGAATTAAGTTTATCTACGTTTAAAAAACTCTTAAAACATATCTGCTCGAAGAATAACACTTTAGTGTTTATTTTTTGTTTATCTGATTTAGCACCATTTGTTTTTTAATCATGACTAGAATGATATTTTGTTTCATTTTTATGAAAGTGCATTCGAGGTTTCATTTCTTTGGTGTTCAATAAATGATCTGTAACAACCTGTAACAAATGTTAACTGATGCAAATTTAAATTTTTTAAAATCGAGATTTAAAAAAAATTAATTAGGAAAAATGAGTAGTAGGGAATCCAAAACAAATTTTCGCCCTAAACTAAAAGATGAAAACGGTTTGGCGAGTCGCGTAAAACTAAATTTTACTCATTTTATTGCTTCAAAGCTATCAAATCAACAATTCCGTCATTGAAATTCCATTATTAACGTTTTGTATCGACCTCATTTAGATTCTAGACATGCCTATTACTATCGGCAAAATTACGTCAGACTTGGTTAGCTAGTATGAAATATTTTAGATATATTGTGCATCAAGCATTTTATTATACGTACGAATCCTGCGCTGAATTTTCACCAATTGGGCCACAAACCTTCTTAAACATGTACGAGCATGTGCGAATATCGTTATCAATCTAGATCGTTATAAAATTTTACAATTTGAAAAAATGTTATTCGAACATTGTCATCAGGGACTGATAAGTAATAATTTTCAGAAATAATTTCAGAAAATGATCCATGACAAAAAAACCTTCTCGTCCGCCAGTCAGGACGTGTCCTACTCAAAAGCTGTTAAAAATCATTCTTTCAGCTTTAAATTTTGAATCTCATACATGTCAAACATAATTTTGACCGGCAAGATATTAGAAAAAGCCGATTCTTTATGACCAAGAAGAATTACGGACAAAGCTCCAGATAAGTATCTGCGGATTCGATATAAACCCTCCGTAAATACTACGTTTCGGCAAAAATCTAATATAGATGAAACAAATCAAAAACATATTACAGGAAATTCAGTTTGAATATAAATAAACAAATTATCGTTTAAGCGCCAAACGCAGCAGTCATTTAGGTTAAAAAAAGGTTAAAGGTTAATAACAGCGTAGGCCTACATGAATACATGCAAACGACGCATCACAACGAACCGTGTGATAGGTGAGGACCCTTGTGTCATATTAAAACCCGGTCACTGCTAGCACCGCTAAATGGCACCAGGCGACCTTAACCACAAGGCCAACACGCGACCCAAAAGCACAACACATGAATCGCGAGTCCGACTCCCGGAAAGTTCATTTCCACCTAAACAAAAAATCACAACGTTAACAGTTATAAGCGTCAGATCGGCGTAAATAAAAAACAAGCTTTCGAAGTGTTTGTACAGAAATTAATCTCTTCAACGCATCAAAAAGTGCAAATACAAATGTTATTTCGTTGTTTACTTAATAAATATCCATTTTGCAGCGTCGTTAAACAATCCAGCATAAAATTTAAAAAAGTATAGGATTATCAGTAAACATTCGACTGAATTTTACTAACAAAAAATGATGAATTATGAATAAATTGAAACTCTGTGTGAGAAATGTAAAAAGATAAAAGAAAAATAATAAAATAATTGAGACAAAATTCTCGTCACACGATTTCAGATTAAACAAACAAACATTTTTATGGAATGTTTAAAAAATATGTATTCAATTATCAGAATGGTGAAAAAATATTTTAAAATGATTATACAGTGGTGATGATATCCTTCACGTCATCCGAAGCATCCAAAGACGAATTGTGTGAACTCAAATTGGCAGAGAGTGGAGGTAGTCCTTTGGACTTTTTCCTGCTAACATTAAACCTACTAAAAAAATTAAACTTTTTTCTTCGAGATGTACCTGGCGGGGGAGTGCTTATTGATTGGTTTAAATTTTCTAAACTCTTATCGATGTGTTTTCCACTTTTTTTTGTTGACAAAATATCTTGCAAGCTTTTACTTCTATGCGTCAATGAATATGGACTGTTATTCAGTGAGTTCTCATCGGAAGAATCATGACTCTCTGTTATAAAACTGTCAGCTGAAGATGTGGAAGGAGCTATATTCCTTGTGATATTTGAAGAACTACCTGGTGGAGATGCATAAAATAAAGGTTTACTTCCTGATTCTTTCAAGTCCAAAATTCCAACATTTGATGATGAGTTAGCTCTTTTATGTTTTTTACCAACTTGTTGGGTTGCAGTGATCAAATGAGGCTTTTTGTATTTTTGAATCATAAACGTTTTTAATGTTTCTGAAACTTTCGGTAATTCACTATCTCTAACGCTATAAGGTTGATAATCATAAAGAGAATCCAAATTTTCGTTAGAGCCTATTTCACACTCTAACAAAAACTCGGCTCTTCCACTAGCCGTTATTGGTTTCAAAGTGTCCATATGTCCGACTAGCTTCATAATTAACAACCTTCCATCTTCTCTGCCTAATAATATAACGTAGCCGTGATCCATTAACTCCAAACTCATCGGCCTTTCGTGGGTGCACGTGCACGCTATTATCACACCTTTATTAATACTTCCCACTTTGACGGTAAAATCTTCTACCCATATTAGGTATTCTCCATCGTGGGTAAGCCTTACGAAAGTGCATTCCCGCTGTTGAGCATATACCATTTCATCGTCCGAAAACATGACTTTGAGGGTTCCGTTATCAACATTGTACACTTGCAGATATTTATCAACAGCATATTTCCCATTCTTTGAAACATCAACTATTCCACTTTCTGAGGTATTGCTTATAGTAGCGACTATTCTACAATCATGAAAGTCCCAGATTTCAGATGTTTGAGCGGGACTTGTCTTGTTAACAATGACTAATCTGTGCTTCACAGGAACAGGAATTATTGATTTGGGACTGCAAGATATGAATCTCACTGGAGCCATTTTTGTCAAACAATAAACAAGTATTTTCTCTTCAGAATCGATGTATAAAAGATATTGGTGGTCTAATGTAAAAACTGGTCCTCTTGCTTTATCGCATTTAAATGCCTCTCTTCCGTCACGAAAATTAAACAGGTGTATACAATTAATGCCATTTTCTACGCACTGAACACAAATAAAATCCCATTTGTAGCTTATAGAAAATGATTTGCAAGAAGGTATAACCAGATAAAAAACGTTTTTACCAGTTTTGAAGCTGTAGACGACTATATAACTTTCCTTGCTGCTGACTAACATGGCAAGAAATTGACCATCCGGAGATGCTTCTATCTGATCTAATTTTCCATAAGAATTGAAACTCAAAAAAGTTTCTTTGCTTCCTGTGCTTATATTCCAAACATCCAAGCCAAAACTATCTATATACTTGTAACTTTTGTTAGTTGTGACAATCTTTCTAACAATAAAAATTCTGTTTCTTGGAACACATGCCAGCATATCAACAGGACCCTCATAAACAACAACATTTGTTGTTTCTTTACAATCTATTTTATTCAAGTCCCATATATTAATGGCTGTATGAATATTTGAAGCTGTGGCTGCAATATTTTGTGTTTTGGAAACAACCCAAGGAAAGTCTGATGAGGTATGTAGGACGATGAAATTTAAATGGCATTTAGTTTCGCTATCCCAAATATGAATGTAGTTACCGTCACTGGCTAACACCAATGTAGCATTGTAATTGAAAGTTACGTTCGACAGAAACGTTTTGCTAGATGGCAATATCACTTTTGTATCAAACACACGAGAATAATTACTTTTTAAATTAACTAGAATTAAATTGCATCTTTTTACATTAAGGACTACAACACTGAAACTCATCGGAGAAATGGCAATTTCATTCAAGGCACAGTTGTGTAACAGTCCATCATTAAACTTTTGATATGGGATTTGTTTGTAATTGAACTTATTGATAATTGTTCCAAAACTTGGACTTTTAGGATCAATATCAAACACGAACAAATTACAGTCTACCATGTATCCAACATAAGCCAAGGCACTGTCTTCAGTGATGACGATAGTAGAAGGCATATTCGCAGCCGGAAAAGAGGCTTCCAGTTTACAAGTTTCGAAATTGTACAACTTTGAATCAAAATCATTACCTATCAAAACAAATTTCTGATTTGGTGTTATAGCGCAAGAAACATATCTTTTAGATTGCACAAAATCATCAAGAGTTTTTATGGTTTTGTTAGTTGTTACATCTATAAAATTTTTCTGCCTGCACAAAATATTTCCGACTAAAAAACCGCGTCTTTGAGTCGGCAATCTCCTTCCAGAACTGTACAGAAACTGGCATGTTTTTAAATCATATATGTAAACCGGACTGTTAGGTATATCACAATCAACAATCAAGTACTTGTAATCATGCGATGCATGAAGTTTTGTGTACTGACCTAAAGTAAAATCTGTACTGATGGTTCTTGTACACTCGCCTGAACACATATCCCAAAACGCTATATTCCCATCAATGGATATTGAAATGAGTTCATGTGCAGTCAACAGCAGATCAACCACCAACTGAGAATGGTCTTCCAGTATATACAGAAGCATAGCCTTAGGCGGATCAAAACACTGATGAAGAGGTAGCAAAGCGGAATGAGATCTTGATTTTTCATCACACTGTTGTAGTAACGATCGAATTCCAAAATGACTATCATTATAATACACTAGGAGTCTACCTAACAAATCAAATGCTAACGTGTTTGGATTAGAATTAACGTAAGACCCTCCAACTCTTAATGCATTGAAAACAAGAGAAATTTCTGAACTATTGTTGCCAGCCTCAATGGCTGACCTGAAATCTGACAGAACATCGTGAAGATTCATCGCAGTCAACTTGGAATGTAACCAACTGTAATTTAAAAGAACCTCTGAATGCAAATCAATGAAACGTTTACTCTCTATTAGGTGATACGGCAACTCGCTCAATTTTCGCAAATTAAAATTTACTTTAGCTTTCATATTGGATGCTGATGAATACGATAACGGTTGAAGTGGCACCTTTCTGTCAGCTTGGTCAACATCTTTCTTTCTTGAACTCATCAGCTTTTGCAACTGAACCGTGCATTTGAATGGCTTTTCTTTCCCACCTCCCCACGTGCCCTGGAAATAATGAGCTAAAGAAGAATGTATATACAATTTGTGTCCTAAATCATTCAAGTATCTCCGTTTGGCAACAAAAATAAACTGTCTATGGTACCAATAGTAAACGATGATGCCATTGGCTTCGCGTTCCATGAGATAACTGGACAGCTGGTCATGAAGTCTGGGAATGAGAAGTGGGGGTATCCTTCTGACCGGAGGAAGCCAATGCTGGAAGACATCATTCAAAACATCATCGTCCAATGACAAGACATCTTCAAGTTCTACATCACTCAATCCATTTTTCGAGGCTGTTAAATATGAAAGAGTGTGCTTGACAAAAATTTTTCCGTTGTACTTTTCGATGTTGTCCAAAAGTTTATTTATTATTCCATTTACAGTTGGTTCCAAGGTTGTCGTATCAACGGTAGTATACGACGACCATCTACAAATTTCCTCAAAAACGAGTTTGGCATATAATGGAAGACTGCAGGAAGCGAGAGATTTATTCACAACTGATAACTGATCAGCGGTGAGGTTTCTATTTGAATTTGTCAACCATTCTTGTATTAGACTTAAACTAAGACTTGTTCCTAGCTGTTCTATTTCCAGGAAAACTGACTTGCCTTCGTAAATTACTTTCAGGTTGTCAAGCAGGTCATATTCATATGGTAACGTAGATAAAATTAGATGTACGTTCGGTTGTAATGTTTTTGGTAGCCATGCCAAATTATGGGCTTTATGAGCTTGGCTAAGCTGGTCTATCGAATCCAGTATAATGACGATTGACTTTTTGTAACTCACTTTCTGTCAAATTGAATTTAATTTATTTTTCAATTTCATAACATAACAGAATCAAACGAAAAAAATTTCTTACAGTTAAGCATTCCTGAAAGTATTTTACAAGACTACTGTAGTCCCCAGGGATGTTTGATTGATCAAAATTGCATAATGAACATATATGCCAACATAGGTTGTATAGGACTAATCTTATGCTACAACTGTGAGATGTTGTGCCTAATTGAAAATGTTTAACAAATAATTTAATTCAATATAAAATTCAATTATGGAAAATTAAATTAAAAAAATAACTATATTCATAGCCAAGTATAAAAAAATTATTTGCCTAGAAATCTAATAATAACTGTCGGCGTTGACTGAGGAAACCAAATTTTAATGAGATTGGCACATTGAGCCAGGACCGAAGTCTTGCCACTGCCGGACAAACCATAAAGAACGAGAGGATACTTCGCTGGTCTGGAGAGGTAATCTTTCAACTTCTTCATGTGGTCATCTCTGCCTCTGAATACTTGACTTCGGTTCCTGCACATGTTCAAATGCTGATGAATTTCAACAACTTGAGTATTTCTCGTAATATTTCTCAAATTCGTAAGTGCTTTGTCAACCAGCAATTTTACTTTATTTTCAAACACCTGCATAAACATACAATTAAATAAAACATTCGAATAAATAAATTTAAAATTTTAGTTAATTTAAACAGCCTACCATATATAAATGCATCCTCATAAATTTTACAGCTAAATTTTTTCTAAGAAAATTCTTGTCGTCATTATGTCAGTTTTCCAATTTATTCTCGAGTATATAGGACCCGTTTCGATTTTTCAATCATCTTCAGCACTTGTTGCAGTTTATATAGAAAATTTGTATAACCCAGCACTTGTTGCAGTTTATATAGGGAATTTGTAAGCCATTTATTGTTATCAGTGACTGTGTTAGTTTACACAGTGTTAATTTACTCAGTAATTAACACAATCACTGAAAGAGTCTAACTTAAATAAAATAAATAATGACGACAGGAATTTGGTTAGAAACATTGAGGAATAAAATAAAAAACAATTCAACGCTAAAAATTCGGTAGATTTTAGAAAATACAGCATTAATTATGGTCTTTTACCAGCATATATAAATACAGTAATTTATGAAATTCGCCAAAATTCTATGTATATATATATATATATATATATATATATATATATATATACACACACATATACACTTTGCATTACTTTTGGTTTCAAAACTATTTAATTGGTCAGAGAGTGACATGGAGTAACCAACCCATGCGAGGCCAACTGTTTTTACTCAGAAGCCAAAACAGAAAAATATTCGCAGGGCTGATGAAATATAAAATTATCAAATACTGTACCCAAAAATAAGTTCAAATTTTCATTAACAAATTTTAACGATACACTTTTAAAAAACAACAAAAAATATCTTAACACGACTTGTTAATACGCTTTGCATCATCAAGTATTTTTCAATATCTGACCCAACATTAAGTAGTAGCTATTCTTAACATGTACTTCTTTCATATTTTTCCTTCAGCAAACCATGCTGTACATTGAACAACAAGTACTTGCAAGTGGGACTAGCTTCAGTAACAGATTCTTGCGAGATCAACGGTATATTTATTGACTTTTTGTTTCAATTTTTCGTATAACTCCTTTTTTAAAAATAACTCCAAATTTAACCGCAGGCCAAATAAACAAAATACGACTAAAGACCATACGTTGGCCATGGCCATACTTGGAGCAATCAGTTTCGATAAAAATTTAATGATTCAACAAAAAAAAGTTACGGCGAAGTACCGAAGAAAGGCAGGTACAACTATTAAAAATATATGTAATCCAGAATAACAAACGATTAGGACAGAAAAAAATTTTAATGCAACCAGGTAAGTGACAAATGAGATTAGGCTAAGAAAACAAAAAATTTGCATGAATGTTGTCAAAAATCAATCAATCAATCGTTAATTTAAAAAATTATTTATTTACAAATAAATAATTCAAAACGATATCCTATTTAAGTTTTTATGAATGTTACGGACTCAATGTCGTCGACGATTGAAAAATTGCTTCTAAGTTAAGTTTAAAATAAAAAACCCTCCAAATAATCCCGACCACACCCCACTTTTCAAACAATTACTTATATTTTTAACTAATTCAGAGTAAAAAATATTGCTACCTCACCTCACAAAAATGCTTAAGATATTCATCATTTTCAGTGGGATCAGACTGCTCTAAATCTGTCCAAGTTATTTCGAAGTGCTCCATATTTTCTTCAGATTTTCCGTACAATGGTTTTATTTTCGTTTTCTTCAAATTGTTGAGCATTTGTTGAGCATCCCTGTCTATGACGTCATTGTCAGGCAGCAGGTCAATGAACTTCCGCGCCCGCTTGTTGTGAATGTTTTCTTCCAGATTGGAAATGTTTCTTGTTAAACAGAAGGACGTGTGCTTGGCTTGTGAGGATTCCAGCATTCCTTTCAAAATCTCATACTCTGTCACTGAAACAAATAAAGTTCAATTTTTAAATTGTTCTGATTCCTAAAAAGAGATAAATTCAACATCAGTTAAACACTTGAACAAATTTTTATATTTTACAACACATTGTTGTTAAAAACGAAAAAGTTTCAATAATTCCCGAAAAACTTATATTTATGATTAGTATCTATAATAGAACCACGTCGTGAACAACTTACAAAAAATAAACAAGCTCATTTGTCACATTAATTACACTAAAACAAGAGTTTAATTAGTTATTATAGATTTCACATTTTTTTTATTTATTATTTGTTGTTAATCTACATTTGTTTAATTTTTTTTACATTTATCAATTATTAAAATTACTAAACCAGAATATGTTGATCTGTATTAAATACTAGCTATTAAATACATCAGCATCGACCGCTTGCTTGTTTCTGCGATCATTGCTTCTAACCCGCTTCGTTCAATGGTGGTCCCTGCTATACACGTTAAAATTGATAGGGGTCCGCAAGATCAAAAAGTTTGAGAAGCACTGGTCTAGATAATCTTTCTATAAGTAAATTTTTTGTTTAGCGTCTTCTTTCGGCTTGGTTGATTGGTTGAATTCCTTTATTAATCGAACTGAAAATATTGTTTTCAACTTAATTAAATTTTTCCTTAATTCCAGTTTTCCAGTTATGTGGTCCTCTCGTTTAATATATAATGAGAAGGTGAGACAACCTCAATCTTATAGATTGAGGTTGTCTGACTTTCCTCTGGCAGGTTATTTTTGGTCTTTAGATACTTTTTGTCCTGCCGAGTTATGTGACACCTTTGTAACGACTTCTTCCTTGTTTGCTGAAGATAGGTATTATACAAGGTGTTTATAATCGAAACAAAGTCACAAAAAGTTGTACATTTTGACAAGGAGTGATGAGACCTCGTGATAGAAGGTTTGAATGTATTTACAGGAAACTCTTGTCTTTAGATAGAAAGGCCTGGATTGAGCAGATATAATTTCTCCATGAATAAGTATTAAGCTGAATTGTTTTTGGTCAGGTTTACTGAGATATATAATCTGATGTGATGGGAATAAATGTTATGACTAATAATTATTAATCGCAATATATATATTTTATATATATATATATATATAAATAATATATATATATATATATATATATATATATATATATATATATATATATATATATATATTTTATTATCAAACACTTATAAAGCGCCTATTAAAATAATTATCTCTCACAAGCACTATCGAAAAAAGAAAAATAATAAACGAACAGTGAAATAATGTACATCCTATCAATAGACGATATGATACAATCAATTACAATCGTTCATCGCAAATAGATAAGTTTTCAAATTCTTTTTGAAATCAACAATGTTCATCTTTGACATTCTCATCGACATAGGCAGACTATTCCAGACGATTGGTCCCGACACTGCAATGTCTCTAGACGATGTCTGCAGCTGCGTAGTTGGTACAATCAACAAATTGACGTCATCTGATCGCATGCGTCTGCCAGTCGAAGACAGCGGCTTCTTTATGAATCTATCAGCCAGGTATTATGGGAGTTGTCCGTTTATGGCCTTGTACATAATGACGCATATTTTGTAAAAAATTCGTTTCTTCACTGTTAGCCAATGGAAGCTATTCAGAATTGGCGTCACATGATCGTATTTTCTGCCTCTAACAATCACCTTTACAGCTCTGTTGTATATATATATATATACAAATATGAGGCTAAAGGATTGTCAGTTAAAACTTTATATCAGTATTTCTTTAGTAAGGTTGTCTCTTTAGGAATACTACCTAAAATGCTGACATCGTCATTTCGTTCTTGACACAAATGATTAAAAACAGACAAAAAATGCAAAGAAATAGAATGATGAACACAAAAACGAAGATAATCCCAACCAAAGTCGGTGCACTGATAAGTTAAAAAAGGAATGAACTAATATCTACAAACACCGTCCGACACATATCAATTTGAGGTTCAAAAGATTGCCTTAATGGGAGCAGCACACATTTTTAGAAAAGTTCTGGGTAGTGGGTTGAATCTTTTTAAACTTTTGTTAAACACAAATAATAACACTAATAAGAAAAATTTGCATACAAATCCTTTATTATCTTGAAATATATCAGTAACTTTGGTTGAAAAATGAAGTGTTGAACACAAACTGATGCTTTAAATTAAAAAGATCTCTCCATAAAATTTTCTTTCATATGGTAATAATTAAGATCTAATGTCAAGAATAATAAGTTTAAAAGCTTGGCAGTACATTAAATATTTAAAATCTAAGCAAACCTGAAATGAAATATTTTTCTTTTTCTTTCCTTGATATAAGATTTTGCTCAGTGCATAGTAGAACACCCAATCGTAAAATATGTTGAAGCTGTGAAAAAACTTTTTCCCATTCTTCTCTCGCAGTTTGCTTCAGTCCAACATCAGACTAATACAATGGACAACATTTTTAATTTTAAAAAATTATTTCAAAAAATTGTAATTTTAATAAATTTACACAATAGAAACAATAGGAAAAATTAAAAAAAAAACGTTAACGCCATTAACATTCGTGTAATTTTTGATGATAGAACTTATAGGTTGCAGTGTGTAGACATTAGGAATAATATTTTCATCTTTTTGGTACCATTTTGACAACAAATTTATGTCTTTACCATTGCAAAGCAACGCTTCACGCATTATTTCAAACTCCTTTGCCTCAATTGTGGATGGAAAAGAACGATAACCATATTTTTGTCCCAACAAGGCCTGTAAAAAATCAGTAATCAAATTTTTAAAAATTATTATAAAGTTTATAGCTGTCTTCACTGGAAATATCACCAAAAAACATAGGATTACCAAAAGACAAAAACACTATTGAATACAGAAATGTTGAAAGATCATCGATTACTATTATTATTTCCATCGTCATAATTCATTCTCAGAAGCATTCACACACGCAAACGACGCATGTGAGTACGCACCAATTCATGCATCACAAACACTACATGCGATAGGCGGGGATATCGAAATAAGATACGCTTCACCATGAACACCAACGATTTTTTTTATTAATTTTAATAAATTGGATAATAGCTAAAAATTACTGTTAGAAAATATGAAAAGCTCAACTGTAAACTTTCAAAAGCTAAAAATTCGGTAGATTTTATCAAATATTGCATCAATTATGGTCTCCTTCCATCCTGTACAATATATATATATATATATATATATATATATATAATATTGTTATATTGAGTTTTACAGTGCATGGAAGTATTAATTTCGACTATTAAAAATCTTTAATTTATCTTAGCGCAGTGGTTATCTTGTTTCAAAAAGTTGTCAAATAGTTGCTTTTGGTTTCAAAATAATTGCTTAATTTAATTTTGTTTAATTTAATTTGTAAAAGTTTTGTAGCAAATTTGAGTTAAATTTTTATTCACCCGTTGTTTGTTTAGTCGACTTAAGAGATACGTTTTTTGTTTTTCATAAAACAATGGATACACGTGGAAAATGTACTAAATGTACAAAGTTGCAAAAGATTGTTTATTTTGCAATGTTGCCAATGTGAATCTATTTATCATTGAACTTGTACAGCAACACCGGATAATGTCGTTACTTTTATACGTACAAGCAGCAGTGTGAAATGGTTTTGTGACATATGCATCAAGACTACACCAAATGTCAAGTTTTTGTCCAAAGCATATGAATTGTCAAAAAAAATTGATAAATTGAATGACTTGAATATTGCAATAAAGTCAGATATGGAAATTATAAAAACTGCCATTAATTCAAGAGAAGCCATGTTAAATAAACTTGGTGGTTCGGAGTCAGATTTGAATGACAAAATGCAGTCATTAAAACATGATATAAAGTCAACTTTTGCTTCGGTTGTTAATCAAGAGATCAAAAAAACGTTAACGTTCTTAATCCCGAAGTTAAAAATGTGCATAAAACTTTGATTGAAGCGTCCGATGTAAAAAATAGAGAAACGAATATAATGTTATTTCGACTGCCTGAAGGTGTCAACGATAAAGAGCGAATTTTCAAAATTTTGAATCACTGACCGGATGACGCCATGTCTAATAAAAATTGTGAGATTGGGTAAAAAAACTGATGGTACGTCGAGACCTCTGCTTATCAAGTTGGACAATATCGTTGTTAAGAATCAAATTATAAAAAGCACTTTTAAATTAAGTTCTCCGGTTGATCAATTTGGTCGAATTGGCATTAATCATGATTTGACTAAAGAACAGAGAGGTGAATTGAAAACTTTGTTAGATGATGCTAAGATGCAGGAAGCTGCTAATAAAGATTTTTTATTCAAGGTTCGCGGTTCTCCGGGAAGATGGAAGATTGTAAGATTCCCAGTTGGAAAAAAGTAAATTTTGATGGATTGGGTTGTGGCCGGGCTGCTTTAAGGAGTGTGATGGGAGTAGTGGGGAAGATCTTGGTTTTAATATATCTGTTGGTTCTAATGAGGTTGAATTAAACCTGGGTCCAGTGGCGCCAACTTGTCTAAGATATTGGGGGGGCCCGGGCCAGGGCCACCAAATGATATATTATACCATATGATTATACCGTTTCGTTATAGTTATATATACAAATATGTATATATATATATATGTATATATATATATATATATGTATATATATATATATATATGTTTCAAACATATATAAATATAGAAATTAATGAAATAAAACATCCAAATGAAATTAAAACAATGCAAATGTTTTTAATCGTAAATCATTGCATAATTGTTTAACGTCAATTGACTCAGTTAAGGTTCAGTAGCAATTCAGTATCGCTCTACGTGGTTCAGCCTCTCCTGTCCCATTGTGTATCGCAGATAAGTTTTTAGACTGCTTAAGGCTGAGAAACTTCTCTCTGCTGTGCAAGTTGTTACAGGTGATGTCAAAAAAAGCATTAAACATTGAAAATTTCCAAAAACATTTTTCGCCTAGATTTGCATTTCATCAGATCAATAACATTTTGCATAATTTGGATTTCCTTTTGAATTACTACAACCATGGCAGATGAAGTCTCGAAACATTTTCAGACGTAGAATAAGACGATCTTCATTTGCATTATTTCCGTAATATTCTAAAAGCTTTAAAACTTTTACATCCTGATCTGCAAATTCAAAGCACTTAGATCTGAGTTTTTAACGTTTTGTGCAATAAGAAATCCTTCGGACTTGAATCTTGTTTTCAGACATTCAAGTGCGGCATCCACGGCTTGAATATAAAATCTTTTGAAATACTCCATCGGATCAGAAGAAGTATTTTAAAAGGAGGAGTTTATAAGATTGTCCACCTTCGTCCATTTTTGGGGGGCACGTCTTACGCACGCAAATGATGGTGCTTCTGTATTATTTTTGGCAGCTTTCAAAGTTACTTCATGCCAAAAGTCATTGAATTCTGAGTCTTATTTGCTTAAATTAAGGTATACAAATCTCAAGGACTAAATATGAAAAGCGTATGTAAAGTTTAGAAAATATTTAAAATTATATATAAAAAAAATATTAAATTTCTATGACAAAATATTGGGGGGGGCTCAGCATTGTTGCGGGCCCGAGGGAATAAATATTGGAAGGGCTCGAGCCCCTCCAAGCCCCATGGAGTCGGCGCCTATGCCTGGGTCTATTAAATATAAGGTCGATTTATGCGATGGATTGGATATTTTCGTTGTAACCGAAACTTGGCATGGGTCTTCAGATAATCCATCCATTGCACTATCAATGCCACCTGGTTATCGTTTTGTGGATTGTGTGAGAAATTATGATCCTTTGCATGGTGGATTAATAATCTTTTTCCGTAACTGTTTAAAAAATTGATTTACCTGCAATTGTCAAGTTTGAGGTTTTAGCGGTCAAACTCACAACCAACAACCGGGAGTTTATATTGCTCGCTATTTATAGACGGGGTTCTGCACAATTATCTACTATATTTTTTAACGAGCTGATATTGGTGCTAGAAAATGTAACAGTATTAAGTTCTCGTATTATTTTGACAGGTGATTTCAACGTTCACATTGAAAGGACTAACGATCCACATGCCGCTAGGCTAATTGATGTTTTTGAAAATTTTCAGTTTCAAAATCAAGTAAAAGAATTTACGCACATACATGGTGGTACACTGGATTTAATAGTCACTTCAGTCGATCTTCCTGTCCAAAACTGTATAGTATATCCAAGTGGAATCCACTCTTAACGTGGTTTCATTTAAATTGCATTATCAATGACTCGAAATTGTACGTCAAGAATAAAAAAAGTAGTCAAATTATGGAATCGTTTGAATGAGGATGAATTCATTAAATCAACAATCATTCTTGTAGCATGCATGAACTTACGCCGGATCGATTTATGTCCTTCTTCAACGACAAACTGAGTAAGGTGATGGACAGCATTAAAATCAAAGTTCAGTCTAGCTCGTCTGATTGCAGATCAAATCTCAAAAATTTGTTCGCAACATTTTCAGATGTTTTTGAGGAAGATATAACCAACATAGTAAAAAATTCACCAACAAAGTCTTCTCAACAAGATGCAATACCGACTCACATACTCAAAAAGTTTATTAATCTATTCTCGCCATTTTTGACAAGCCTTGCCAATATGTGTTTAAATCAGAGTAAATTACCCTCTGTTTTTAAACATGCTATAATAACTCCACTACTGAAAAAACACAATCTTGATGAGAATAATGTTGAAAACTATAGACCGATATCCAATTTGTCTTTCATATCTAAAATAATCGAACGTGTGGTTGTTAAACAGATACTCACTCACCTAGAGAATAATCATTTAATGCCGATTTATCAATCAGGTTTCAGGTAATACCACTCAACTGAAACGGCTCTATTAAAGATTCTGTCTGATGTCTATGTGGCTATAGATCAACAGAATACGTCTATGATGGTGTTCCTCGATATGTCAACCACATTTGATTGTGTAAATCACAAAATACTTTTAGAGAGATTGTGTGTTACTTTTAAATTTTCTGGTGCTGTGTTAAGGTGCTTTGAATCGTATTTGGTTGGTAGAACTCAGCAGGTATCATTTGGTGGTAAAGTGTCCAAGGTCAATATAGTTTTGTCTGGTGTGCCCCAAGGTTCGGTTCTGGGTCCTGTTATGTTTCTTCTGTATACATCAGAAGTATTCAAAGTAATTGAATCATTTGGTTTCTCATATCATGCATTTGCGGATGACATACAAATCATTGTTACCAGTAAGCCTGGTACTTTCTGGGTCGAATTGGACATGTTGGTTGAATGTTTATCAAAGGTTGATTTGTGGATGCAGAATCGTGCTGCAAAGGTTGTTGTCGGCGGTTTAAAATATGATCATGTATCACCAATACTGAAACAACTGCACTGGCTAACCGTAAAAAAAGAATAATCTTCAAAATATCAACTCTAGTCTACAAGTCAATAAATCGTCTTGCACCATCTTGTTTGCAAAGAAGTGGGCACCTCCTTCTGGAACGCATCTGAGGTCTCATGATCTGAACCTGCTGCTAGTCCCAGTTTCGTGTCTTCATATGGGGTCCCGTAACATCACCGTCTTGGGACCGTCTGTTTGGAACAATTTGCCTGTCTTTCTAAGAGATCCGGAGATGAACCTGCCTGATTTTAAAAGAAAACTAAAAACTTACTTATTTTCGTCGTAATTTATTGAACTTGTTTTAATTATAACGGAATGATTTATTTCGTTTATTGTGCCATGTTAGATTAAGGAAATAATGAAGACCGTGTTTTTTTTCTTATAATTTTTTCGTTGAAATGCACTGATAACCCTTTATTTTTGTTGATTAAGCCATGATATTTTTTTGATAGCGCTTTTCAGATCCTTTGAATTAGTGCTTTATTAAATTTTTCATTAATAATATATATATGCAGTTGTTTTGAAACAATACAGCATTGCAGGCATTGTTTCATTTGCAATTGAGTTTTTCAATTTTTCGTAAAACGAATTTCATTCAGTTCATTACCATGATGTTTGTTAAGACCATATTCAGTATTATTCAGAACTAAATATATATTTTACAAACTCAACAATGCGGATAATGTGGTGATATATCTTAATAACTGTATATACGACAGTCTGAACCCCCCAAAATATATATATATATATATATATAACATTTATTGAACCATTCATATATATATACATTCGACGATAAATAGGTATTCAAGAAAACATGCAACCTAAATAATATACAGATATATATATATATATATATATATATATATATATATATATATATATATATATATATATATCTGTATGTATATATATATATATGTGTGTGTGTGTATTTATTTATTTAAATATTTATATGTAATAGAAATGCTGGGAAGAGAGTGTAATTTATACAATAATTAATAAATGCTACCAAAATTGTTGTTATATATACATAGTTATTAATTAGTTTTAAATGAAAGCATCAAAATAAAAATTGAAATGTGCATATTTAAATTGAAAAATGATATAAAATCATTAAATTAATAACGTTATTCTTAGAGTTATGATTACGGTGGTCATGTTATTGATAATTAAGTTAGAATTAGTGTGAGATAAGAGTTTTCCTGCTAACTCTGTTTTGCTAGATGTACATTTTTAAAATAAACAGAAACCAAGGTCACTCAATTCAAAAAAAATTCAACAAAATTTACGAACATTTTTGTGCCAATTACATTGATTTAAGACATGCAATAACAATACAAGCTGAAAATTTTTGTCTTATATTTTTTATTCCAATACTAGACTTTTTGAAAAAATCCTAGTTCGAATAATGATACAAAAAATCTTTTATTGTTAAGAAATCTCGATTGATAACAAGATGCAGATCCTCAAAATGTATAGCAACACCACACTAAACCCAAAAACGCCAAACGCTCTAGAAATCACGACATAAAAAAATTATATAATTGCCATATAAATAATAAAACAATCAATACAAAAAATAGATTTTATATTTTTTTGATACTTAACTTAATTAAAAAATATTATAGAATGAAAAAAAACAGTTAGTTTAATCTGTCTAATTCAATAATAACCATTAGCACTAACTAACCACGAAACTAGGTCCAATTGATAAATGTTTACATTTTTCGATTTCTTTAATACAAAATTCAATGATTGTGTGATCGTCTTGTGACTCCTCCCTGAGACCCCATCTTAAATCAATCATCTGGGCAAAGACATTAAAATACATCCCAGAGAAGGTCCACGAACGATAAAATAATTTTACATTTCAAATAAAAAATTTACTGTAAATTATTTACTAAATTTTAGTTGATTAAAAAAAAATATGCTGAGTTCAATATAACATTTCACAAAAAATAAGACAATATTTTCAATGTGATCAATGCAATGCTTTAATTAAAAAACTATTAAAAATATTATTTTTGATTGTTTACATTACATTGCATGAAGAAGCTTATTTTAAAATTTTAGAAGTACCTGAAATTCAAGTCTGTATTTCTCAAGACAATAGCTTTTCAATTTAAAGTAAGAATTCTCCATTAAACAGTTTCTTTCCTGAATCATATCTAATTTAAAAATACAAAAAATTTTATTTAAAGAAAAACAATGCAAAAAATCCAGAAATTCCAAGAGATGGTATGGCCACCCAGAACAGAATAAATTTAATATTAACCAAAAGAAACCAAATTTAAAAAAATGTAAATGACTAAAAAGAGGAAATGAACCATAAATGGAATTCAACTATAAAAACATTTTTTTGATAATAATAAATTATTATAGTAACAATAATAATAACAGAGATATGTTCTGACAATGCTTTCAATTTGCATGATGCATTATTAAAAATATATTTTCTTGCACACAAAGACTATTCCAGATTTATTTATTATTAAACACTCCCAAAAAAGATTACAAACTATTTGTTTTAAAATTAGTAAATGATAGCAGCAAAAGTTCCTTTTCTTTCATAAAAAACAACTTCCTCTACCTGCTTTCAAAAATATTAATATAAAGAAAACAGGAACAAAAAGTTACTAATTTTGAAATTGTAATAACAATCCTATAGAAAATTATTATAAAATGATTTATCTAATTAAAAAAAACTAGAAATACAAACCCGAAAAAGTTGAACTTATGAAAACACGGACAAGTCTTGTTGACAAAGGTGGCAAATTTTTTAGGTGACCCTCTAAAATTGCGTGCAATGTTCCATCTTCATATTTGTCTGCATCTGAGTATCTCAGCGAGACCTTCCTTAACATTACATTCATCGCCAAAATGTGTGTGGTGGTAATGGAAGAAATTAGGCAAAACAATAATTAATAAATATGTGAATTAGAACTTTCTTGTCCAAAGCATTTGTTACCACCACTTTTAGTTTTGTACTTCTCTTTATTTATATGATTTATGACTCAGATAGCACCATTTTTATGCGAAAATGACAAAATGTGGACTAAGTTTTACTTATTGTTGTACTGAATTAACTGACCTATCTAACAATGACTAACAGTAACTCCGTTAGCCTTTTGGTGTGGCTGTAGCTTTATCGTAAGTTTCAACTTTTTAATTTTATGTGAGTAGCATACTCAGTACAAGTACAGTACACAGGCTGCAAAATCAAAAATTTTTTATGTAAATTTTATTACTAAGGCAGGGTATTATTTATTATTTTAAATTGTAAAAAATATATATATAATAATAATTATTATATATATATTTATTAAATAATTATGATAGGATACCTACCTACCCCACAAACCACAGCAAACTTTCGTCTTACGAGCTACCTGCTACAACAACAATGTTCCTTTTAATTAAAATTAAATAAAGTTTATTTTATTTTATTTTTTATAGTATTTTAAAAGAGTCAGTCAGTGAGTAAGTGACAGACTATAAAATAAATAACAAACATTCCAAAAACTTACGAAATAATTCAAAAGTAATTTGCAGTTATTTTTATCGATGTTTCCACTTATGCTACTGACAGTGTGTCAATTTTATTCTAATTATATGACTCAAACTACCAAATTCATTAACCGAGTTTAACGTTAATGTGATACACGTTTTACTTTTAGAACTTAAGAAGTTGGAATGTTGACAAACGCAGAGGACACAATATCTGGCATTCGCATTTATTAAATTCAACACTCAACATTCGACAGATTGTATGATGTGACTGTATAGTATGATGGCGGACCCCGTATATACATATTAACTAGTATAATATAAATTATATATATATATATATATATAATTATCTTATCATTTTTTTATTTATTATTATTCTTTAAAAAATCAGAATCTGACCGGCGCAGAAACTGTTACAACATGCAAGGCAATAGTATAAAATGATAACGAAAAATAAATAACGGTGTATAATTGTTTTAGCATGAGAAGTATGGAAAAAATGAAATAATGATTTTAAAAACGAATAAATAAAATAACTAAAATCTGTCACTTATTTTCAATAAATCATTCGAACAATGGCCTTAAGAAAATATCATCACCTCTACATGTAATTATATAACTGGAAGCGCCCTACCAGCGTTTTAACATTGAAAATTTTTTTCAACGGGCAAGTTACCTCTGGAAGCAAGTTCCTAAAAATTAATTATTCATGAGCATTTTGATTTATTTTTAGAAAAATCTGAGATATAATTAGAAAAAATCTTGGCCTTCCCGAAGTTATGTTAATGACTCTTTGCCGATCTACATTCAGCTCGTTTGTTAAAATTTATTTCGTTTTCAACATTCCGTGAAGTTTTAGGTTTTATAATGTGCCGTATTTAATCGTTAAATTAAATACATATTGCCATTTTTTGATGCATCGGAAAAATCGAAGATTTGTAATAAGTTTGTTAGCGATCCTCATTTTTCCGAAATAAAGATTTCTTCATTCATTTTCCCAGCACCCACGAATCACGATGATTAGACTTTAGAGTAAGAATCATTCCTAAATTAAATTAGAATCTAGAAAACGAAAAGAAGTGGGTAAAAATTTTATTGTAAAAATGAAATGTTATTAATATTTAAAAAATATAACTCATGATCAATTTATATTGTTATAAATAAATTAATCAACTAATAATTTTTAAATTAAGGTGTAATTCCTGTGCATATGTCCTAAACTAGAATCTTTCAACACCCCAAAGCTTACAATACAAAGGAATATTTGCTTTCAACATAACATACCCAAACCAAATTTAATCACAGAGGTTTTTAAAATTTCTTTTGGTAGTAAAAGCAAACAATCTTTTTTTTCTGTTTTAACTTTAAATGCTATGATTTATATATAATTTATTAAATTAATTATATAATAATTTGTTAAAATCAAATTCTTTAACTTAACTATTTCAACTGTAATTGACATTAATATATTAAAAAAATAATAGTTTAATTAATATTAAGCTAACATGAAATTCATTATGCTATTGATTTAATTAAATTTTATAAAACTGTTGATTTTTAATAGAATAGGTTTGGAATGTTTAATAATTTTTAGTTTAACATTACTATTTATAAAATAACCCTGAAGGTGCTAGATCATGAACATGTATACTTTTATATTTATGTGTAAATTGTTATATTTCTTGCTTGTTGATTATAAAACATCTATCTTGCTATAATTAGTAATTAACTTAACTCGTAGTTAGTTCAGTCTTACTTTTCTATTTCTGGATTTCGGTTTTGTTTATTTGTTGTATAACTGCAAAATGTTTGATTTACATAATTATAAATTTATCTTTCAACTATCTTGAAAAGTGAAATATATATATATATATATATATATATATATATATATATATAAAGATATAGGGTTGTAGAACTAAGGTTGTAGAATTTGCTTCTGATGTAATCTATTAGAAGCACTGTACAAATTCAATAAAACAATTGATTTAATAAATTTAAATAGTATAATTTTCGTTGCATTTTATTATTTAATTTACTTTTATTAAAACTGCATGTTGATAGAAAACCCTTTAGTTAAGTTAAAATGTCTTAATGTTGTATATGATGATTTTTTTTATTAATTCATAATAGTGGTTTGCATTCTGTACATCATTGAAATGATTTTCCATGTTAAATAAATCTTTGTTGACACATTGTGGGAGTATGTTGCTTTCAATTACAAGTTTTTTCTTAAAACAATAATTATTTATTTTTAATAATCTTTCTGATTCTTGGCAGATCTGAAAATCATTAAAATTTATTGTTTTTACCAGAAAATAAATAAATGTATCATTTTACTTTCTCCTTTTGAGGGATATGTCAATTGTCCAAGCCATTTTTCTGAAATTATTTGTAATTAAATTTTAGTTCAGATATTGAGATATATAAAAAAAAACCTTGAGTTTTGTAAACGTAACACCATCTAAATTTTTCAAACTTAGTAAGTAGGCTTTCATTTCATAAAGTTTATCTATAGCGGCTGTCAGGTTGCTCTTTGTAATGTATTGCTTCCATTCTCTATCCAGTATCAGTTTGCTGTTCAATATATGGAAAAGATCATTGATGTTTTTCACAAAAGCTATTGTTTCAGAAACGTCAGAAAAAAACATAAAATCCGTTTAAGAGTTCCAATGATTTAGCCGCAGAGCAACTAAAGACTCAAGATGCATATTTAATTTTCATCTTATGCTTTTCAAAATTTACACGATTTTTGGTTAATTTATTTTTTAGTTTCATTTTGATTTGTTGCTGATAATTAACTAAGTTTACGATGTGATTCCATTTGATTGGATTATTATTATAAAATATCATATAAGAATGAAACATATTCCTCATTAATTTCAGCATGTGGCATGCATCAAATATGATATATATTTTCTGGCCAGTTGTTGGGGACAAGAAACTTGTTTGCATGTTTGGAAATGTGAAAGAGCATCCAAGCAATCCACATGCCGAAACATTAGTGGCCAACCCATCCATTACCAGTGAAACAACCCTAAAAAATAAATATAATGTATAAAAATTTTAACATATCTTTAAGAAAAACAAATGTTGTTTACCCTAACTCCAGCATTATGTAACTTATCAATGGCTTTCTCTATAAAATCTTTCAACTTGTGAGATAATAACTTATTTGTATAAAAATAAGCTATTGAATGCCTCCAAGCTTCTCTCAGACTAACAACATAAAAAATCAACATCTCTGAAGCAACTATGTCTTCATTCCTATCTCCATAGTTAACATATCCAATAAAGTCATTTTCACAAATAAACAATGCGTTTGATAATTTATGCTTAACATTTAACATCAATAAAATTAAATAAATTGAAAACAAATGTTTATGGTGAAATGGGAAACAAAAAAAATCAAGAAATAAATAAAATACACAAGGAATAAACTAGCATATGCTACCAAAATATGCTATATTTTAAACTAACAATTTTACAAACAAAATATATTTTAAAAAACCTACCAATTTTCTTATTATACGTTATTTGAGGCTTTATTGATATCGAATCAAGGATTAAAGAGCATTTGCAATATTTTATTTGCTGTACATATTTCTTTATATAGCAATATTAGTTTACAGAATATCATTATTAACAAAATTTTACTTGTTCAATGTTCTCGAGTGTGGCAGTGTTAGTCAACTTTTTCTTAAAAATTGATATGCATGAGGACCATGAAAATGCAGCTGCATATAAAAGGTCTTGTAACTATCATTATATACTTTGTAAACTCTTTTTAAATGGTATGAGTTTTTTATCTAGAAGCAAAAAAAAACAAAAAATTAATCAAAATTTCAATTCATTTTGCTATGGTTACATAACATAAAACCTTTGTATGTAGCTAATTCATTTTTTAATTTATTACATTCATTCATAAGTTTTCTTATTGTTGCCTGCAGCATTGTGATTCTGGACTTGTAATACTTTGATTGCCTTTGCTGTTGCTTGATGAGATGTGCATCCATTAAGCAAAACGTCTAAATATGATTTAAGTTTGAAAGTAAATAGCTGCATTTAAAATTTTTCATCATATATATATATATAATATATATATATATATACCCAATAAATTAAAATAAAGAAACTCTTTGTATTCTGTATTTCTTATGACAAAAAGCCATTTTACAAGGACATCCTAATAATAATAATAAACCCATAATATAAAAACAATATAAAAAATATTTGAACATTAATTAACGATAGTTAAAAAAATAAAAAGTCAAAAATTTTAAATAAAAATACAAAAAAGCAAAGCCTCTTTTCTTCTACTAGTCTGGGCCTAGTGTCTCCTGGCACAATGTAACATTTTTAAAACTTTTAAACAAATAAACTTTATAAAATCAAAATGGATCAAATAATAAATGATTCCAAAAATTTTACATAATTCAGTTAAATTATTAAGTTAAAAATCGATTAAAACTGCCGTAGAATGATTATAGCAGCAAAAAACGTTTACAAGAATGCCGCCGGTGGCACATTAACAGGGAAGAAGCTAAATATAGATTGGAAAACGGAAAAACCCATTGACAATTTGGTGCTAAAAAAGTTTGCTTCCAAGTTTCCTGACCTTGAGATGAAGGTCAACACTATAAAGCCATTCTTATATATAATTCAATGTCACCTCTAGAACATCCACCTATAACTCGCACAAATCAAATTAAAATATTAAGCATTACATTCCCCTCCAAACTCATTTTAGTAGTTAGTACCTCGTCTAAACCACATTGTCACAAAATGACTACAAACGTTTCACCTTTAACGCACTCAAAACACTTCGCTCACATAGTCTCAAAGGTGTCAAGTTATTCGACAATTCGACATCACAGAGTCACCCATCATCTCACACATCAAATACGCGGCACTCAACTGGTCAGGCTTTGCTACACAACCACTTCAACAACTACAATCTCTCATCGAAAAAATAATTCGCCTCAACTACTTACCTTCATCTTATCCTGCTGTTACTCAAATATAATCTTTTTATTTTCATCGTAAAAACGTACATGAAATGAAAAAAACAATAAAAAAAACAATAATTGTCAATGATAATCAAAATTAAAATATATATGTATATAGTAAAATGTCTTGAAATAATCTCCGAAGCTCGTCATCTTATAAAAAGGATGTGTACAACGAGAGAAGGTTAGTCCTAAATGGTTCATTCAATTTGCATTTCTATCACAGTAAATACTATATGACGACGAAATTGCTGCATAAATAAGGTTGTTGATAAAATCATCAGTCCATATTAAATTAATAAGAGACAAATCAAAAATATTAAAAAAACCTAAAGGGGATATTTCAAATGTATTAATTGTAACGTTAGAGTGTTTATAATTATTGGTCAAATTATTTTGCAAATTAAGGGAGTACTTCGCCATTTTATAGTCCATTGATTTCAAAAAGTTTGTTTCATGGCAAACCGTGAGCTCCAGGATTTCAATGTTGCTATCGAAAAGTAGTGCGATGTCAGGACGTAGCGTCTTGAAGAGGCAGGATAGTGGCTGATACTTATCTTGATCCGTGTCTGCATATATGGAGACATCAGGGCCTGCGCATGATTTCAACCTGTCTAATATTATTAAAAGAATTTTGTTGTGACGTGATGTAAATTGCTTCAGTGTCGACGCCACGCCACAATTTGATAAAACGTGTTTGTTTGTTTGGCAAGCGCTGCATAGAGGACATTGTGCAGTGGATGATTTTCCCCATCTTTGAAGGTTGGCGTTTGTCGGAAGTTGCTGGATTAAACTTTTTCTGACAAGTTTAAACAGAACTTCCGGAAGACATGTTACGTACCTCGACCAACGATCTATGCGAACAGCTGGGATGTGTGCTTGAATTGATTTTAATATTGTTCCTTGACATTGAAGGGATGTCAGATGATTCAAAGCTGCGGTTTGTTGTTGTTCTTTTATTGCTTTAAGCGTCGGTTTGATGTCGTTGGCGTCAGGAAGCATATTGTCGATTGTAATGAAGTCGCTGAACGATTCGCTCCACAGGTATTTTAGCTCCTCGTTTCCATTGGCTTTTAAATAGTTCCGAAGTTTGATCCTCAATGATTCGGCGTAATGTTTGAGAGATCTAACATTTAAATCCACCCAGTTTGAAGGGAAGTGTTAAGCTCTTTGACAGGCAACTACTGATTGGCAATGACAGCCACATTCTCACTGCTTCTACCACCAATGGGTCAAGGCAGCTGCCAATCCAGGTCAACGAGACATCGTATGTCCTAAGCTCAAAAGCCAGTTGTGATGGTATGTATCGTCTTAAAATTTGGAGTTCATCTAGTTCGCCGATCACCGACAACAAACCTTTTAATTTACCGATTAGCAATTTCTTGGCTTCTGTGCCCTTTCCTTCAAAGTTGTATATTTTGCCCAGGTATATGAAGTGCCCCCCCCCCCTATTTCGACTTGAGGAATAGTTCCATTGTCTATGGTCAGCTTTGGAAGGAACTGTTTGTAAACACCTTTTTTTTCCTCATGCCGAATGATGAGCATTTATCTAATCTTATTTTCATACCAGTTTTGTTACACCAAGCCTGGTTGATGTCGATCAACTTTTGAGCACTTTCCGTGCTGTTAGCAATAATTGCCGTATCATCGGCAAACTTCATTCATGCTTTCGTTTTCAAGTTGGCTGTAGGTCCCCAAATGTAGCCGCATTGTTGATATTTAGGCTTTTCCAGTATTTTCATTAAAGGATTGAAGCACAAATTGAACAGCAGAGGCGAAAGAGGGTCACCTTGGAGCACGCCACGTTTGACCTGGATAGGAGGTGTAAGTTGATCGCAACCCGAAACTGATATGGTGTAGTCGGCGTATGTATGCGTATATTAAATCAGCGATCATTGGCGGTATATGATGATGGTCTAAAGTGGATGAGATTAGGTCGTGGCTGACCTCGCTGAAAGCGTTTTTAAGATCCAAAAAAATGACAATTATTGTTCTTTGATGTCTTTTAGCGTCATGTGTGATAAAAGCTGGGTAAGTTCGGTCAGTCCGTCCACCTTCGGATAAAAACCATTTTGGATGTTTTTATTGATGAGGTTGTTTAATTCTAAAAAGTTGTACATTTTGTTGTTAATGCAGGATGAAAATATTTATTAGAGCGTAGGTTGAAGTGTTATTGGTCGGAAGTTGGCCGGATCATGTGCGTCACCTTTTTTGTGAATAAGCATTGTGAAACCTTTCTTCCAGCATGATGGGATTCTAGAGGACAACCAACATTGCGTAAACAATTTGTGGAGAAAGGTGCGCAATATAGGACATCTTTTAAATGAAATAATTGAGATCTGATCTAGCGGACATGGTAATGATTTTGATCTGTATTTGCAGATTATTGTAGATATTTCGTGGTAGGTAGGAGGATTGACGTTGCAGGGCATTGTGGACGCTGTTGCGTTTTGTGCCCAAATAGGGAGTTGATATTTCTTGTTGTTGATGTTGTTTAGAATATTGAAGAAATAATTTTCACAATCGATAGAGCTGAATAGTGGTGTCATGTTTTTTGTTGTTGCAAATATTTTCTTGCATGCCCACCAGAATCGTTGTTTTAGTTGAGTGGTGATTGTAGATTTTTTCCCTTTATGTTTAGAAAGTTTTATTGACAGTAGTTTAGAACGAAGGGACTTACTGGTGTTGATGATCTGGTTGTCGAAGTTGTGGTTGTGTTAGCCTAATATTTTTAGTTGCTTTAGCTCTTTTTTTAGTTCCTTGACCGATTTGTTCGATTATAATAATAATAATAATAATAATAACAATATGCAGTGATGCACGTGTGTGCATTGAGTCAGGTTACAATAGTAACGTGACTGTTAACAGCTTTAAATTATTCATCCAAAAATTGAATCTATACAGTTTTTAAAAATATTCAAATCTTTTGCATCAATTGCTTCCTGAGATAAGTTCATGGATATATATAATATGATTAGTTCATGGATATATATATATATATATTATATATATATATATTATATATATATATATATATATATATAATATATATGGATATATATTATATCCATGAATAAGTTATCACAATTGTTGACTATACGATTTGTAAAAAACTTTTTTCGGCAGTTTTCTTTTTTTACTTTTTCTATTTGTAATCTTTTATTATGTCCCCTCTTGTTTTTGGGTCAAACATGAATATCGATGCATTATGCAAGTTTATTACATCTTTGCCACTTACAAATTCTTCACAAATTCAACACACTTTATTCAATGCAAATACATTTTGTAGAATTTAGTTCAAAATAAACTTTTCGGCCATCTTGTCTGAACTTAACCTGACCATATTTGCAATTTTTTAAAAATCTTTTCAAAGTTATTTACAATTGAAATTGGGTTTGGGACTCTCATGACCATGGTTATATATATATATATATATATATATATATATATATATATATATATATATATCCATGATCATGACCCCAAGGTTTGAAATATTATGTTTTAATAAATCTAAAGTCTTTATTTCTATATTTCTATTCCTTCTATTGATGTCTTAACCTGATTCAAAAACTCTTGATTTTTCACATAAACAACATCATCAACAAAAACAGCAGCATCATAAATAATAACAACATAACCAACAAAAACATCAACAACAGTTTAGGCTTTATTTTTGATTCTGTCATGTTTTTTTCTTTTCAGGCTAATAGTGTTGCTAGAAGTTCTTATGTTCATCCTCGCTGAATAAAAAAGTTTACATTTCCTTTCTAATCCTAACGTCTCGGTCTACGATCGTCTTCTCGTTCTCACTTTTTCTTAAACACTCTTACGCTTAATCCGCTTCTTTTCTTTACCTCCTTCTCTAACTACTTCTGCATCACTTTCGAAATTCAGAGTGGGTCTCAAGACCAATCTATTTGTAAAATTAATTGAGGAGCGCACTCAAACATCGCAAAAATGGCGCTTTAAAAAACTAAGTGTATGATTGATACCTTCGTCTTGTTTTTTAAAAACAAATTGTATCTATTTTCTATTTTTTCTAAGATTTTGTAAAAAAATATGTCGGTTCATCATTCTTTGAAGGCATGTTACCTGGATATGCCAAACATTATTGAATTGCAGCAATCCAGTTTTGACAATATCACACATCGTGATAAATCACAGGCAAATTAAGTTGATAAGAATTGTCTGACGTGTCGTATTTAACGTATGAGATTATTGCAAGTTTTGGTAATTGAGATAATATGATTACAGAGAGTGAGTTTTTTACCTATGTTACTACAAGAGTATTAAGTGTGTTAGATATAGAAACTACGATTATTAATAATATTATTACGACAAATTTATAGCATTAATTTTAACAAATTTTTCAAAAATGCTACCAGTTAATTTACGAACAAAAATATATGAAAAAAATGAAAAATTGTATATCACTGAGAACATGAATAGTACGTCTTTAAATTTTTCTTGAAGGTAACGACGGACGACTCAGACATTTTCAAGTACGCATGCAGCCCATTCAAAACTCTTGGAATACAGTGATGTTCCTCTATGGGGCAAAATTACCTGACAGGCCGAATCAGAAATTGGTCGGCCTTTTACCGAAATCAAGTTGTCTAGCAGGTTAACTAAATGGTAAGAGCCAAATAGAATTTAGTTATATTTGCATTAAAGTGCAAATTGTTCTGAAAAAACTGCAATTCTATTGAAGCGATGCAGGTGGGAAGTTGAATAGTCCTTATTTAGTGATATGAAGAGTTGAGCATTATCGGCACTTTGTTGATTGTTAATGTTTTAGCTGTTGACGATTTTGTAAACTTGTGAAATATAGAATGTAAATAAATGTGGTCCCAATACAGAACCTTGATGAACGTCGTAATGTAGAGGAATATTTGGAGATAAATGTTTGGTTATATTCACAAACTGATTTCGACTTATCAGGTAAAACGTAACTTAGAAATCAGTGCAGATTGTAATTTCATATCTAACATTAAAAACTGTAAGAAAGACACCGAAAAGTAGCAAAAATAAAATAATCTTCTCCTAAGCATGAAGAATTTTACCTGTATTTGAAACTTGACCATTTCGCTCATGCATAATAGTTTTTTTTATAACGTTTTATTGCTGAAACTAATTAAATTTAAGTAAAATACTATGAAATACAAATATGAAATGAAAAAAAACATTTGAAATAAAAATTTGAAAATGAAAAAAACATTCTGAAAAAAAAAATTTGAAATGAAAATTAATTATCAGATTTATCGCTGTCTTGATCCCAATTTTTAATTGATGCATCCATCATATAATCATCTCTCAAAATTTTCCATGTCGAGTCATCCACAGTAGGCTAAACATATAAATATGAATAAAGTTATTAAAGATTGCATTTTTAAATAATTCAAAGAAAAAATTTACCTGGTTATTAGTTTTTAATATATCGAGAAATTCGCCCTTCGAAATGGATTGTTGCTTAATCTTTTCATGATTTCTGATAGATTTCGAATTTTTTAGTTTCTCGTTAGAGATGTTTTGTTGCTTTTGTACAGAGTTAAATAAAGTGACAATGCCCCTGTTTAAAGATAACATGGTTATTCAAATTATGAAAAATGGCAACATTGATAATTTTTTTTTCAATCCCAATAATTTTCTTATCACTCTCATAACACAGCTATTAGAAAACAAATTATTTCATCTCATCATCTGGTAGACCTGAGTTTATTTACTTGCATAAATCACTGAAAATTTTAAATTATTTTGACACTTACTTCTTCCAGTTTTCCATTCAAAGTACAAACACAATCACAAAAGATGTGACGAGCATTAAAACTACATCTAATAACTTAATTCATCCATTATAAACCTTACCAAACTTGAAAGCTGTGTTCATGTACGGAGATGTTTCAAATCTATAGAACTTGCGGCCATTCCATATACTTTTCCTAATTTAGATACAAATTGTGATTATTTTTATTCTTGGTCTGATTCTTTTCTACCAAATTCTGTCTAGGCACTAACAGCCAAAAAAATCTCTTTCATTATATATGTCCCATCACAAAATCATCGTCTTTTTTCATGTATCCCAATCACCCTTTCATTTAAATCATCCCAAAATCTACCTTTATACTCCTTTTTTCTACAGCTTTGCGGAGCATATCTCGAAATTACATTTGACATCCCATTTCCAGTTGACGGTTTAACCATCATGTACCTGTTACTGCTCCTAACTACTCCAACTACCTTATTTATCCAATGTTCACTTATCATCACTTCTACTTCTGCTTCATTTCCTGGCCAAAATAATTTAAACTTTTCTTTCAGCCCCTTTATTAAGCCACCGAACTTCTTGTAAACTCAAATATCTACTTCATAAGTGCTTCAGTAACATATAATATAGATAAATATAGATAAATATAATTAATCAATCAATCAATCATCGTTTATTGTCCAGAGACACAGTTCTCCCGAGGTAGGACGTTGTTTTCTCTGCCAACAATTTTTTGCGCCAAATTAGGCGATCAGTTGTATCCATTTCATTTACGACGCAGGATTTCGGTATACTTCCCATGGATTCTTAACACCCCTTGACCACTTAAGGCCTGCTGGGAACTAGGGGCCGTTGTTTTGTGATGGCATGAAATAAATTATGGGGAAACTTTTTACATCCGGACACCGACCCTGACGACAACCACCAGTTATGAGCGGTGAGCCTAGCCTTTTGCTCAAAAGCACACAAGGCAGATAAATAAATAAATATATATATTGCTAAAAATCACCGCATGTTCCATGTTAGTTAACTTACCGTTTAATTTTTCTATTTTTCTATTGGTAGATTGACAGATGTGGATGGCGTCGAGGGGTATTTCGGTTTCATCATAGGTAGCCAAACGGCAACCCCCGATCTCGGGGAAAATGTCGTCTAAACGTGTGTTGTTGTTGTTTCTATTGGTAGATTGTAAGGCATTTTCAAGTTTCTTGAGTTAAAAACCAAAATTTTTATTTATTTTAAGCACAATAGAACATTTAGCATATTAATAAAAATTTAGGTTTTGAACTCAAGAAACTTGACAATGATTCTAACCATTAGCATTAGCAGGAAGTTAACTAACGCGGAATATGCAGTGATTTTCATCAATAATTGAATTTCTGAGTCAAACAAAACAAAAAGTATGAATGATTCAGAGACCAAAAAAAGAAAATTAGTTTTTGAGGAAATTAATTCTTGAAAAATCGAAAAGAAACAAATTTAAATTTATTTTAATAAATATATAAGAGCCACATTTAGAAAACAAATTCTAAAATTCAATAAATTATTTGACGTACAAAATGGCATCATAATGTGAATAATTATATGTAATATATAAACTATATTTAAATGAAAAAAACAAACTTCGTAGCAATTCTTTGTAACCGTTTTTCTTTTTCTCGTTCAAATATATTTGGCTTCACTTTACACATTTCCTCCCATTCTTTTCTCTATTCAAATATTTATTTATTTATTCATTCAATGCTCTCTCACTAAAACAGATAAATTGGTTAAGTACAGATGACGACCAACAAAGAGCATAAAGGAAGACAAAAAGTAAAATTTAATTGCTTGAAAGATCACAGCAGTAAGTTGATGTGAAAAGAGCTTGGTGTGTTTGGTGGGAGTGTATGATGAGGCATCAAAATAAGTTTGGATTGGATTAATTGAATTGGTTGAGCTGCCGAACTTGGGAGATAAAGGGAAGGAGGAAATAAAAGGTCAGAATGAAAAAACAAGGTTGAATATTTCATTGGCTGGGGAGAAAATTTTAGCATAATAAAAATGAATGGGAAATCTTGAGACAGCACTGGCATTTTAAAAAAGTTTATGGATCATTTCAGGATGGACCAGAATATAAATGCAATTGAATAATAATAATAATCTTTTCCATTCTTCTCTATTCTGGGCTAGTTCTTTCCAGGTAAGCTTAGGTCTGCCACTTAGTTCTACGTTTCTTTACCCAGTCCTCATTTGCTTTCCTCTCCACATGGACAAACAATCCCAATCTAATACTTCTAATTACATCTGACAACTCATTTATTCCTAACTCTCTCTCTTTATTAACTAATTACTTAGACCATTCCTCAAGAATACTTTCATTATTCTTCTTAATATCTGCATTTCTGTTCTCTCCAGCCTTCTCAAATTTTCATTCATCAAAACCCAAGTTTCATACCCATACAGTAGGCAACTTCTCACACATGTTTTACATATCCTATTCTTCCGACCTGATGGTATATCTATGGAACACAGCCCAGAGGTTATTTCTCTGAATTTTTCCCACCCAATATTTATTCTATCTTTGGCCGCTCTATCCGATCCCACCTCCTCATTTAGCATATCACCTAGATATCAAAAGGACTCAACTCTTTCCATTCATAAAATTCCCAGGCGCCAAGTATCACCATTTTGATAAGCATAATCTTTCAACTTACATGGTTTACAAACAAATTCCTTGGTTATGTCGAGGTTTCCTTTCAAACCACCTAGAATATATACAATGTATTTCTACCAACAATTTATATATATATATATACACATACATACATACATGTGTGTATGTATGCATGTAACAAAAAACCAACTAAAAAATATGTAACTAACCAAATATATTTTTTTAGATGTATTTTCCAATTCACAATCTGGTTTCACATCTCTACATTTAACAGAAGACTTTAATGTTTTAGCCAAAACCGGATTTCGTTTTGTTTTTGTTCTCTGTCTCAAAATTTTGTTTATTACATTGCCAAAACCTCCAGAGTGATTCAACTCATTATTTTTTGGGTTTGATGAAATCATAATTTTATTCTGAAAATTATATGTACATTCCAAGAAATAAATTATTGAATATTGGAGGTTATAATGATGAATTGATAATAACTGAAACATGTTAAAATTTTGCAAAAAATGCAAGTCAAATTCCATCAGACACAACTCTATAAAAATCAGATGAGCTTGACTGCAATAACAAATCAATGTATCATTATTAAAGTTTTAGATCTATTATTTCTGACTTGATCAGCAGTATTATAAAGCTAATTTTGCAAATAAAATATATTTTGACATTCATTTGTTTATCATTCAATGATAAATCTTATGAGCCACAATCAAGAACTATTTAAAAAAAATATTCATACAAAAAAACAATCTATCAATGACATTGATAGATCAGTTCAACCAGTTTCTCTGAAAATCAGTTGTCAGCCTGGACTCAAAATTTTTAAGTCGGAGTCAGATATTTTATATCCAACTCTGACAAACTGCTGAAAATATGTTTAATTAAATAACTTGAGAACTTTTGTTGGCCATCAATATATTGAATATTCTCGCAGAGATTTTACAATTAAACTTTAATTGTCTTTAATTTGTCTTTAATTATTATATTTAAAAAAGACAACCTAATTATAGAACTACCATCTGGTAATCCTGTAGACGGCAAAGTGGTTTTTCCAGCAATATTTATTTATAGTCAACAGTTTAAAGAAACTCATAAGCTCCACCCATGGTGCAACTAATAAACTAAATACAGCTTGGGTGTTCATTGGTTAGCGGCCATATAATGTACACAACAGCCGGAATACTAAAAAAAGGAAAACGGTTCTTTGAGTATTTTTTTCAAATGCTATTGAATTTAAAAAAAAAACAAAAATGTAAAACGCTTAACAATGCAATCTACCCTTAAACGATTTTGGAATTGTAATGCTTGGTTCCCGTTGAAAAATGTTGTAGCTCAATTTCTATGTCTACGTCAATGCTCAACCATTGAGATATAATCATTGAGGTGCTTCTAAGTTAAACTAAATATATCTTTCCGCCGATTATGAAGTAAAAATTAAAAGGAAATAAACGGTTTTTTAAAGAATTTTTATTTTTTAAATGTCGTTGAATTTACACTAAATATATCTTTCTAATTGAAGTTAAACTGAATATATCTTTCCACCGATTATGAAGTAAAAATTAAAAGAAAATAAATGGTTTTTTAAAGAATTTTTATTTTTTAAATGTCGTTGAATTTAAAATTGAAAAAAATGAATGAAAAACGTTTGACAAAAAAAAAGAATAATTCATACAACATAATATGTACGAATGAGCTTGTCACGGTCTTTAGCACCGCGCTGCCACATAAACTCATCCAGATACGATGAGATGTGAGCATCGCAGGTGCCATGCATCCGTTTAAATTTATCTTAGGCACATTTCCAAAGATTTTCTACGTGAAACTATATTTTCAACAGATACGTTTAAAATTTTATTACACATTTTGTAATGTTTTATATTTTTATAATTTTTTGGAGGTTTTGTTGTTTTTCTAGTCAAAATAGGTTTAAAATTTTGATTTTTGTAGCTCACGACATTTTTATTATTATTTAGTTTAACTTTTAGATGTACCGTGAGAGGAGCTTGTGTGTTGTTTTTTAAACTGTTGACTATAAATAAATATTGCTGGAAAAACCACTTTGCTGTCTTTGAGATTACCCTACTATCTTATTTTTATAATTATAATTATATCAAAACAAAATAATATTAGTTTACTTTACGTCTTTACGACAACACCATTTAGCCTAAAAAAAGCATCTAAAACTATATCTATAACAATATTAAAAACTTACATAACATGTAAAGTAAAGAAAGAATAAAAAATTAATTATTTTTTTTAGTAACTAACAAATTAAAATGTAAAAAAAATCATTTTATTTAAAAATTTATTATCACAACTAAATTATAAATTATATTAAATCAAATTAACTAAAATTAAATTAGAACAATATAAAATTAACGATACAAACAAACAAATACTACATAAAAATAAAATATATAAAATTAAAATACAAAATTACAAACAAGTTACAGTAGTACAATGTGCAACTTACTTAGCACTTGCCTGTAGATCTCAGTTATTAAATCTAGGCAAAATCTTGACCGATTTTTTTTTTTTAGGAAAATATAGAAAAGACAGAACAAACCGAAGAAAGCTTATTAAAATAGAAATATATTTTTGAGCCAACACCAGTCGCCAACACGTTGTATTCTTGTTATAGGTCGCCAACACGTTGCTTCATCAAAACTTAATTAGATCTTAGGGATCTTAGCATTAAAAATGAAAAAGAATCAATAATATGGAAAAGTGAAAACGTTCTATAAAATATTAACTTTTAGTATCAATGTTGCGCCTAAAAACGTCAACAAAAGCGTAGAGCGGTTATGAAATGCTGTTTTTTTTATTTTATGAAGTATTTAATAATTTTAATTTTGTTAATTTTTAACTAGTTAAACATCAATATTTTATTAATTTTGTAAGTTACATTTTCTGTCCCTATTGTTTTGAAATTATACTACAAATGAACCCGTTTATTAACGGTGAAGCAACATCACTGTAATCTTCGGACAAAATGCTATTCAGCGAAGCAGAAGATTTAACTGAAATGCTAGATTTATGACACCAAATAGTTGTCAAAATTTTGATACTATAAAGTTCATGAGATAAGCTGAAAACTCGAGTGAATGAAGTTTGATCGATTTGATTTGAAATTTTTTGTATTCAGTCACATGACTCGAATTACTATAGGAAGTGGAGCGTTTGACGTGAACGTTGAAGCAATTACGACATTGACTATAATTTTACGCTGCAATCACTTGCTGGAGTCTTTCTGCAAGAAATGCGTAAAGTCATTATTTTTCTTATTTGCTTCCAGTAGACTGTACAAATGGAGGGATACTATGGTAAAACCATGACGCTTGGTTGGGTGGTCGACAGACGCGCAATAACAATTGACAAAGCATGCCAGACTAAAGTACCAACACTCGCACTATCGTACTTGAAAGAGAGTGGATAATTTATTGAAAATTATTGATAAGATAGTTATGAAATCTAGGGCGTAATGAACGCTGGAATTCTGATGGCGTCAACTACTTAACGACATGCTATTAAAGATAAATAATCAAGCATTACAACATTTAGAAAATAGAGTAAATGTTTATGCATCAAAAATCCATTTAAAAACATCAGACAAAAACATAATGCGCTTAAAATAAAAAACATAACAACTTTGTAGTAGTTTGGTCGAATCAATTTTAAAGACCTAAAGTATGTCATTTATTGTGAATGAATAAGTAAAATAAAATCACATTATTCATAACCATGTAAACTTAGAAATAATTTAAATTTGAGCTTTCACAAGCTTTTAGCATTAACTATACTAATAAGATCGGTCGACTCTCATCCAGCCAAACTAGGATTATAAATATAAGTATCGATATCAATGTAAGACATTACATAAATGTCAGTTAAGTTCCAACTAAAGAAATTAAGAAAACTGTTTGGCATCCGTTTTCTGACGTTTTTTAGCTTGCAAATCGGTAAAAAACTCTGCGATGTCTTCTTCTCTTACGACCTTTAAAAATTAAAATACTCTAATATTTTAAAATATATTAGATTTTAGATTAAACATTAGATTTTTTTAAATATTATCAGTCGATTGATTGATTGATTGATAATTGATAATAAATTGATTGATAATATTAAAAAAAATGGTTGAAAGTCTATTATAGTACTAACTTTTCCATTGTCAGCAAATTTTTTTAGATACGCACTCAGGCCGGTTTTAAGATCCATATAACCTGGATAGATCAATTGGAATTTGATTCAATTACTCAATAAATTACTGCGACGTGTCGGTCGCACACATACAACGTCATGAAGAATGAAGATGTTATATTGGCGACCTATAAACATTAAGAAATGACAAAGTAATTACGTTAAGAATTATTGTGTTAGTATTCAACGATAGCAAAAAATCTATATAAAAAATGTTGAAAG